CTGGTTGTCTGGACTGCCACATTGTCCCATCATCTGCAAATTTTGTATTTTCATCTTTGATGTCATTTAGAAACTCATTTATGTAGATATTGAAGAGAGTAAGAGCTAGCACAGAGCCCTGTGGTAGTCCTATTTTTTTCAAATTCAGTTCCCATGAATCCATCAAATATGCAGCTTGCCATAGGTAACTTCAAGTACGCTCAGATCTGTACTTTGTTTTTTTGTTTTGTTTTGAGGGATGTATAAATACATTGCCACGTCCGGTCTGTGGTTTTGTTAGATGTTTTTCTGCTTTGTATCGATCTTTTATAGTTTGTTCTTATGTTGTACTGTTACACCACTGTCACAGGTTAGGAGAGGGTTATGGCCTTCAAACATGTTTAACCCCGCCGCATTCTTTATGTGCCTGTACCAATTCAGGAGCCTGTGGTTCAGTGGTTGTCGTTGGTTCATGTCTGTCATATTTGTTTTTCGTAAATTGTTTTGTTATAAACTAGGCCGTTAGTTTTCTCAATTTAATTGTTTCATATTTTTCATGTAGGGTATTTTTATAGCCGACTATTGTAACATAGTTGAATATATACCTATGTTGCACATACTAATATATAAATGTTATAACCCCGATATCAGACAACCAAAAAAAGCCAGATGACCATGCACCTAGCCTTGATAATATACAAACCAATTGTCCTTTATTAATACTAATTAAGAAGCCAGGAACCTAATGATGATGTATACCTTAGTAACAGAACCACTCGTATACACATTACCGTTTATGGACCACACTATACGATCACCAGACAATCTTATGATTCTAATAATTGATAGACATTTTGTAGTTTGACCAGAACTATCTTAGACTCGCACTGATGTGCATATAGACATTTTCGTTCACGTATTATTTTCATGTAGTTTTAATAAAATTATCATTTAAACTTTTGTGTTTCTTAACCATTACGTCACACTATACGGTTTGAGGTTTTCTCAAGGTTGCCTATAATTGCTTAATTACATCCACTTCATTTGAACTTTGGTGGATAGTTGTCTCATTGACAATCATACCACACCTCCTTATTTTTATAAAGGGTAATCCAGCAAGGATTTAACGAAGACAATGAGTAAGAAATAAATAGGTTCACATACCAGCATACCAGCTATTAAAGTAACATGTACTCCAATAATACCGGGAAATAACTTAAATACTCCGGAAGAATAGGGAGATCATACTTCAACTTCAACAACTTGTCAAAAATGATATTGAAGAATGGTCCTTATAAAACAAGTAAGAAGATGTTAATGGGACAATAAAAGGAGTATCTCCTTATTTGTATATTAAGTCAAAGGAGCAGAAAAAAACTCATTAAAGATACCAGTCTTTAATGGACCAGCCTTTTGGTAACATACGTCTCTTCATTGACGCTCGAGTCGAAACAGTTTGAAGGCCAAATCCATTACGAAGTTGAAGAGCATTAAAAACCAAGAATTCCACAAAAGTTGTGCATAATCTAGCTATTGCAATCTATGGTTTGTATAGAAAATCTAGCTATTGCAATCTATGGTTTGTGTAGAAAATCTAGCTACTGCAATCTATGGTTTGTGTAGAAAATCTAGCGATTGCAATCTATGGTTTGTGTAGAAAATCTAGCTATTGCAATCTATGGTTTGTGTAGAAAATCTAGCTATTGCAATCTATGGTTTGTGTAGAAAATCTAGCTATTGCAATCTATGGTTTGTGTAGAAAATCTAGCGATTGCAATCTATGGTTTGTGTAGAAAATCTAGCTATTGCAATCTATGGTTTGTGTAGAAAATCTAGCTATTGCAATCTATGGTTTGTGTAGAAAATCTAGCTATTGCAATCTATGGTTTGTGTAGAAAATCCCGAGTTTGCCTTATTATTCTAACATATTAAAAACATTAAACTTACAGAAAATGACCTTATCAATGACGGAGCGATGATTACTGGGCCAGCAATACGTCTACCAGCAGGGACATCGACTCGGTGGTTTTAAAATTCAATCAAAGTTACCAGGCTTTAAGTCAGTACGCCAAGCGCGTATTTCGTCTACATTAGACTCCCTAGTGACGCTCTAGTCGAGTTGGAAAAGTTGAAAGGCCAAATCAATTACAAAGTTTAAGAGCATTGAAAAACTCTAAATTTATAGATAATTACCATATCTATGACAGTTTATGTCCGCAAAGTAGCGCAGACTACTTGGCCGGTGATACCCTCAGGGACGAATCGCTCACAAGCAGTGGCGTCGACCCAGTGGTTCTGGAAAGTAATCAAAGATATAAGGGTTATAATTGAGTACGCCAAATTAGCATTAAGTCTATATAAGACTCATAAGGGATGTTCGAGTTGATATGAAAAATTGGAAGGCCAAATCATTTACAATGTTAAGGAGCATTGAAAACCAAAACTTCCCAAATGTTGCGCGCCAAATGTATTAGGGCATCAGTGCCTTGGGAGGACGTAGTTTTTTAAATATTTTAACATTTTATAAACAGTAAATTAACAGACAACGATCGTATCAGTGACACCATCTGTCAGCACAATATACTTGGCAGGTGAGATTACTAGGCTTATCATTGTGTACGCCAAACGCACATCATTAAGTCTATGCAAGACTCATCAGTGATGCTCGAGTCGACTTTGACGTGTTGGAAGATCAAATCAATTACAAAGCTGAAGAACATTGAAAACCAAGAATTCCCACATGTTGCTTCATATTTGTCAGGCCATTATTGCCTAGGGGGACGTTAGTTTTTCAAATCATTTAAACATTTTACAAACAGTAAATTAACAGACAACGACCTTATCAGTGAAACCTTCTGTCTCCACACTTTCTACTGGGCTGGTGAAACCCTCGTGGACGAAGCTTCCACTAACTGTTGATCGACCCAATGGTTGTAAAACCTCAGTATAGGTACCAGGCCTATAATTAATTCCACCATACGTGTGTTTAGACTACATAAAACTCATCAATGGCACTCAAGGTAAAATCAATTTCGAAGTTGAAAAGCATGGAAAACCAAAAGATAGAAAATCCAATTTCTGAAAGACTAATGGAAAAACACCACTTCGCCATATAAAACCCCACAGAAACCTAAAAATTGGCCCGGCGATACGAACCACATTAATTAAATATTGGATGGTAGTAAAACCGGAACGGTAAAACCAGTTTGAAAAAAAGCATAGCTCGCAAGATGACTTTGTTAAATCATAGCATACTACACTGTACGTATAACTCTTGATAAGTACATTGGTCGGTAAAAAGACATACATGTAGAATTGTGCAATTTATTCTTATCAAAATCCTTATCAAACGATGAAAGAATGGCGTCTAAAGTAATTTTTATTGTGATCTTGTACATGTATTTACCTCAACATGTTTAATCCAAAGAACAACTGAGGAGATTATTACTTGGTACCTCTGATGACAGGTTACAACAGATGGAAATACAGTTACAAAACTTAACACAGACTGTACACTTGTTGCAGGAGAAAAATATTCATATCTCTGTAAATACTTGTCATTTACTGATTATAACGAATGCATTGACATTGAATATTCAAATCATTTTCAATCGAATTTCCATTATCTCTTTTTAACTAATTCTTTTCTATCAGAAAGCACAGAAACCCTTAAGTATAGAAAATTAATATACAGTTTACAATACACACGACAAGGGAATCTGTCTTTGGATATGACCAACCCAAATTATCAAAATCGGTCTCTCAAAACATCTGCGCCTTTTAGTTTTATCTTAATTCAAATATCGTTTTATTCTTCAAGTTTGAGCGTATTTGTTGTTCTTTCCTTCCTTTGGCTAGGATATTGTCCGTTCTTCTTTGACTTTTTTTATCATATTGAGAAACTTCTTTTGTTTTTCCCTTTTTTCATAGCTTTTATTTCATATTCGACCGGAATTTTTTCAGAATTCGAATTCGGAATTGTTGCAAGAGGTATATACTCTTTTTTCAGCTATGTATCATTTTCACGATGCATTGGTATATGATAAGGCAGTTTTCTTCGACTAAGAATTTTGTCATCTTCGCTAGCCATGGGTTACGGAAGCGGAAATGACCGGATCGTAACCCTCGGCTAGAGAAGATGGGATTTTGTTTGTCTTAAGCTAGTATCTACTCCCTTTTTTCTCAAAGGAAGTGTCTTCATATTTGAGGATGTTTATTTACATATTAATTACCGTATCTAAGAGATAAAACTTAAGGGTTTCCACTGTCGGACGACATGACAGCTTCGATGATAATTTTTGCTTAAGTTTTTACATACCATCCCAGTCTGTCGATCACGTTTCATTTTTCAAATAAAACTAAACACGTTTATTTTAGTGAATGAGAACAACCGACACATTGCCTTCTACGCAACTCTAACAGCCCATACAACACTAGGACAACATCGAACGGTAGAATTTGATAAAGTCAGCACCAACATAGGAGGAGCATATAATGGCATATCCGGTATGTTTACTGTTCCCGTTACCGGGCTTTACCATTTTTCGACCACCATGCTTCAGATGACTAGCGCCAACAATCAAATTCATACTCAAATCATGAAGAACTCTGTTGAAATTGGTCGTAACTTTGGAAATGAACACAGATCGTCTGGGACAATGGACGTAGTTGTGTTGGCACAGAAAGGCAATATAGTTTATGTTCGACATTTTGATATCACCAAGCCTGAAGCAATGCACAGCTATGGTTATTCTTCATTTTCAGGGTTTCTAATCGGATAGAAAAAGTATTTCCAGAAAATACAATTGCTGGATTTTAATTTGTTTTTCTTCTTGAGTTATTATTTGATTTGTTAAAATTGAAACATATGATATAAGCTATTTTAGTAAGTTACTTACTTTCAACATATATTATAGGCGGACATCTACTGAGACCTATCGTTTAGTACATTTACGAAGAATTTTTCAGTTGTTCAATCATTTAACGTAAACTATGATACCAATGTAAAAACGACACAATAAAAAAGTCATACATATTTCTCTTTATTAATAAACATTTGATCAATAGAGAAAATTTCACACATAGAAAAACAATTTTATCAGAAATGGGCTTGGCATATAAACACAGTGAAACAAAGTCCTGCTTATCTCTAGTTTACATATAACAAGGGTAAACAAGCATACTAACATATAAACATTTCAAACATGGTCAACTACGTCATTTGGACTTATTTTAAAAACAAAGGAATTAAAGGAATAAGTGAAACGTTACATGGCACCAGACAGAAATACAAACAACATATAAAAAGGCTGCATAAAATTAATAACGTTGATGAAAACAACCCCTTGAAATAAAACATGTATAGTTTACAGCCATGTACAAATCTCATTGTTGATATGGTTACTTTGTTAGTCTTTCAAAACAAACATTCGTTTTTTTCCCCCCTAAACACATAAACTCTAAGATCTAACGATACACAATTGTTTATTTATATAATATGCCGTTGTGCATCTCCTACCCATTTCGTTTTGAAAGCTTTCATATTAATGTATTTTTTTTGTCAAAAAAAAACTTAGGTTCTTCAAATGTAAAGCTTAATTGTGAAAATTAATAAAACTTTCACTTTGTTTAACACGTTTTAAAACGTTTAATTTTTTTCATGTGAAATGTATATTTATTTAGTGTTTACAGACATGATCTAATATCGACCACCGAAGGCTATATATTCCTTTTCCTTAAAGTGGCATTAGCTGTCAAATTTATGTTAACCGATTTGACCCACAAACTCATATTTTATTTAAAACGAATATAAAAATTACAAAAAAGTTCAAAAGAAACAATTAACAATGCATGCAGTTAAATTTTTAGTTAATGTTAAGAAACATTTATTAATTGGTGTTTTATTTAATAATATAGTAGAATTGAAAATTATATGTACTCTTCACAAGGAGCTTGGACTTGTTGAAGACAATGTAACAAGCAACTGATGGAAATAAAGAAATTTAAAAATAAAAAAAACAATGCACGCACTACAATGTATCAGCGTTTCGTACGTATTTTAGACAAGACGCAATCTAATTATTCACCAAGCTGACCTCCGAATATTGCCGACGGTCATATAACCAGATATAAACACAAATATAAATATAAATAGAATAGCTTCCGCGCTTTATACAAAATGTGCTTCTGTCATTGCTTTTAAGCCCCAATAAAATTATAAAAAGAAGCATTCAATTCTTAACACATAGTTGATCCTTCAGACTGAATGTATTTGTGTTTTTCGGTTATTTTCGGCGTTTGGCTGTGTCATTGATGTCCACACCACATCTCCTTATATTCAGATAATCGCGTGGGACCATGCCGTGGCTGTCAAGATGCATATTACATAATAATAAACATATTATTTCTTTGATTCTAATTTCCAAAGTATATCTAATTGTATTAATGTTTCTCTTTAGCAGTGAGTGCTCAGTTAACTTATTAATTTTAAAGCAACATGCCATTTGTTAGTCCTACTAAAATTTCTACTAGCTGTATCTTTAAAGATAATTTTACTTCCTGCGATAATTTTCACTCTTCTAATACTTCATCCTTATCCACAAGATATTACTACTTACACTGTTGCATATGTCTATACAACTATACTTATTTAAAGAACACCAACATAACTCTATAACAAGTTAAAAAATACAATTGATACCATCAACATTATCAAACTATGATGCATTTTAAGATTTTCCGAATTGTTTATATTTTGACCCCTTGAACTTTTTTTCGTTTGCGGTAATTTCGTGGTGTGCAGGTCGGTGACCTTTGTAGATGTGACTGACTCAGAGGAGAAACTTGTACGTCGTTCAGTAGTTTCTTCCGATGAAGATGATGCATTTGATAAATTGAAAGTAGTAGTCGACATGATAGATGTTGTTTTGATTTTTATTTCTTTGACCGTACTTGGATTCATGTTACTTATCCGTGTTCTCATGATTTCCTCTTTTGCCCTGGACATTTTGGCTGTTTTAGTTTTAGTAACAACTGTTGTGATATCCTTTGTGGAATGTAGTTCATTTTGTTTTGTCGTTGTCATGGGTACAGTTATCTTTGTAGATGAAACTGCTCGTGTTGCTATAGTGATCCTAAAGTTCTCTATACAAGTATCGTTCGCGTCAGTGCATCCGGCTGATTTAAAGTCAAACTTGTCTAGCATGGTTCTATTTTTCGAATCTTTTACCTTACACCAGTTTGAAAATAAGTAAGTGTTGGTTATCTGGTCTCTGACGATCCACTGTAGATCACACGAACATGAAAATACATTCTGGTAGAAGGCGCTATTATTAGCAGCAGCTAATAGTGGTTCTAAAGACATACACTTGAATAGCGTAAATGTATTATCATGAATTAGGAAATAATTTAATCTGCCAAATTTGTTAAAAGCTTGCTTTTCGATAAGTCCAAAGTTCGAATTTTGAATTTGAAATCTGTTTACATTGGAAATCGAGTTAATTGCGTTTTGACGGACAATCGATACATTACAAAGCGTCATTCCAAAGTTTTCCATACGTTGAATTTGGGAAAAACTGTTGCTTTGAAATTCCTCGATGGTTGTATTATGGAATGATACAGATAAGGTCGATATATTTCTGAAAGCATAATGTTCAATTAGTCGGATTTTGGACTGGAAAAAGTTGATTTCGATGGTTTGTTGCAAATTTGCAAATGCACCTGCAGAAATTCTTTCGATTTTTCCGAAGTAAACTTGTAATGAACTTAGATGCGGAATTCTATGTGATAGGTCTGAAGGAATAGATTCAGCCTCCATTTCGTATATAATTATTGTATCAATATCAGACGAGATTGGCGTAGGGAAATGACTGATCGTAGCACATGACATCACTTTACCGTTGCAAAAACACTCATGGTCAAGGCTGCATTGTCCAAAAGCTAATCCAAAACAAAGAATGAAGGCGAAAATCGCTATGGTCATCACTGCAAATTAAACAGAAGGCTGTAATTTTTTTGTTTTGTTTTTTGGTATTTCATTGAAAAGATATTAAAAAAACGTATTTGAATAATGTTTTTTTAAGCGGATGATATTAGTTTTTATCATGGTTATTTCGAGTATTTCTAACTCTTTGGCTTTGCATTTGACAAATATAAGATTAAGATGAGCGTTATTTTATTGACTATTTCATTAATAAAAAAGAAATGTATATTGTATTTTGCAAATGCTTTTCATTTTTATCATTAATTAAAAAATTTCTGAACTACTATGCATAATTTTCTTTCATATATATACATTGTTATTAAAGACAAACTAAAAAAAAACTCACTTTTTGTTAGCTCATAAAACACTGCCTTCCGTAGAAAATATCTAGAGGATGTCGTGTTTATAGGAATCTTAAGTATACTGGTCAAACAAATGTAATAACAAGTGTAGATACTTGAAAACTACGACATAACTAATGTATTTCGTATAATCTTCAGACTGATACTGTATTGGATGTTTATACTTTTAAAGTGATGCATAGATATAATAATGACTGTTACACAGCACACAAAGTGTAGGTGTAGCAAGCTCACGTGGCAATTCAAAACACGAAAGAAACTATAATTTCCATTTCTAAATAAAAAAGGATTGACTGTTTTTGAAATGTCTAATTGGCACATCCTGTTAAGCAAAATAGACGTACCCTAAACCTCAGCGTGAGTTTTAATGCTGGTCAAGAGAAGATGTGTTCCATAACCCAGTAAATGTTTTAGTTGTATGAAAAAAAACACACTTCGATTAAAATTTAGTATTGCTCTAATCATTTCTCTTTCAAAACATTGTTCTGCGGAACCCTTTGTATTGCCTGCTATTGCTGCTGTAAGATAAAAGAAGTAATTTTGATTGCAAAAAAATAAATCCATTTATCAGTAAAATACCGAAAAAATCTGGTTTCTCACGTGGAAAAAAACCGTGTAGATTTACTTTAAAATCCATTAGATCTGTCAACCTTTACTTTAGAGTAGAATTATTTTGCTTTTAAAAGCCATTATTTAATTGAGTTAATTAGTTATACAGAGAAAAAATATTTACAGGAAATTATTCACTAAAAAACGCAATATCACGAATATCAAACAGATTTCTTAATCAAATTAATGATGTGATTGGCTTGTCTTGGCTAAATCAAGTAAATGTAAAAGTGTTTTTATTTGATATCATAGCAATGTTTTTACATGTCTTACATAGAGTCAAATGTCATTTATCAGCATCTCTCTTGGCCGTATAACTCTCACTAAGCAAATTAGCACTGTATAAGCACACCAAAATCATTTTTTCCAATATCTTTTCGAAACGATTTACATTTTATTTTATGAGCCAGTTCCCGCGAACTCTACATGATAACCAAATATTGTGCCGTAAAACCACGTCACTGAATGTTGTTGCATCGCTTGGCGCATTCAAGTGTAAAAAGTTGGACATAACCTCACATGGACCTTTATCAGTAGTTCTCGTGAATACCTTTTTGTACAAGTATCCCATAGGTTAAATGTTTAAGCTATATTTTCTGATAGTATATGTCATAATCGTTGGCGCACGATGCAGTGCTTTTTGTCTGCAATTTGCTTTAAGTTCGACGTTGCTTTTTGTCCGATATATTTTGCTTTTTTCCCGCAACTTTTGCTTTTTGTCCGATTTTCTTTTTGTCAGAACATTTTGCTTTTTTTCAGATTTCTATTTTGTCCGATAATTTTTCTTTGTATCCGAATTGCGATAAATATATCTGTTTAAGAAGCCTAACTTTGCTTAAATAAACTAGTTATATAGACGTTACGACCGCGATACGACCTCTCAGTGACCATGCACAAACATTCACGATCGCAACGATCTCTGCGACGTCTCCACTTTATTTGGACCAGGTTACAAGAAAACAGTTCATTTACCAATAGTCAGCTGGGAAAATATCTTTCGTGGTTATAAATCTGAGACTGCAAAACATCTTATTTTAGTTATACCCATTATAAATCAAAACTGTTAACGGCCGAGAGCAACAGTGAACTAAATCTTTGACCTATATATATTGACCTCGAAATCAAAAGGCTTCTTTCCCTTCCATATATTTTCCAGTATATGTGTCATTCCAATCATGCAACGGATACTAAAGTTATCATCCGAAAACAATTAATTTCGGTCACACAAAAGAATGGACAGACTGATGTAAGACGGACTGACAATACGATTATATGCTCCATAATTTTTTTTCGAGTAGCATATAAAGTAATATGCTAGATACCACTGTGAGTGATGAACTGATTAATTTTCTCCTTTACAACATCTACTTACGTTTCGGAAACAAAGTTTATCGACCGGTTATTGTATTCCATTGGGCAACGATTGCACCTCTTTGATAACATATTTGTTCCTGTATTGTTATAAATCACAGTTTTTTTGCCAAGCCCTGTGAAGATCCGTCTAAATCTATTTGATAGAAAAAAATGTATAACACTTTACCGTTACTAAATGGTATTCATGTTTTTGCTTATACTATCAAAAATTCTTTACTTATACAGCTGGCATTGCCTCCAGGAAACAGATTTTTTAATAAATCTAATATGAGAAGTACTATTTGTCCCTTTTTATTTGAACATTTTAGTTTCACGCATAAAACTGTGTGTTAAAATTTAAGAAAGAGAGACGATTTTTCGTTCCCTATTGTTAATTTTCAATTTTAAGACGATGATGTTCCTTTGCTACGTTCTTACCGTGTTTTTATTTCCCGATTCGTCGTTTAGCCTGAAGTGACGTATCTAATAAAAATGTACATAATCTGTGTATAATTGGTAAAGTATCAAGTCAGGGATATTGCTACCATTAATGGATCAAAACCTTAACTAAATTCTTTCAAAGAAAATAAAGATTTGGGTTTGAAGTTTGGCTGTACCTGTATTCTAGAGATTCCGTTTCATTTTGGTTGAATGTTATGGTACATCCGTGTCAAAGATGAAGCGACAATCCAGTCTGCTATTCCACGAATCAGATATTGTCGAATGCGACTTAGCACCGAATGGTTGTTAATGCTATGATTTTCACTAGTGGAGCAGGATCTACTTACCTTTCCCGAGGACCTGAGATCATTCCCGTGTGTTTGTGTTGCTAAGTCTTTTCAGTTTTCTGTGTAATGTTTTGAAGACTATTGTTTGTCTTTAAGTCATGGTGTTGTCTGTTTATCTTCGGCTAAATGATTTGTTCATTGTACCCTTAAATCTTCTGCCTTACTTTTCAAGTAATAAAAGAAAACCAAACGGTCCCTTACATTTAAATTCATGGAAAATAGTCGTGTAATATGTTAATATATTAAAATTGACCGTTCTGAAGAGTAAATTTGAGATTTCTTTTTTTCAAATTACAAGTACTGACTAAAATATTTAAGATTTCAAATTTTGACCCATCTAAATTGACTACATTTTGCGTATTGGTCTTAAAAATTAAATGAAAATCTTTAGAACTTATGATTATCGGAGTAAACATACGTTAGTTCTGGCAAAGCCGAAGGGAAACATATTTGCACTCAGTCTGTAAGTCCGTCAGTAGGTCATTTCATATCATAAGAAGTTATCAAGCTACGTTAAGGTAAACATATTTGCGTAAAATGTTGCCATTGGAATAAGGAATTGCTTGAAAATCTCCGCATTTTCTATTTCTGTGTTGGAATAATGCCTTGGGTCAAGTGGACAGTTAACTTGTACGCAGCACGATCAGACTCAGCTTGTCGATTTATCCAAAGCAGGGTATAATCGTCCTGATTATAAGTGTAATATATTTGCCATTTTACCGTGAGCGACCATCAAAGTATCAATCAATCTATAGTTTCCTGTACAGTATTTTTTTAAATGTTATGCAATAGATAAGTATTTAACTAACTACCTATCTTAACAAATACCTAGCTGTTCTAATATAAGAATTAGAAATTAAAAATGGACTTAACTTCAAGGTTATTTTCTGTATAATACGGAAGAACAAAGTCACAACAAAAAAGACTTTAAGTACAGATCTGAGAGTACTCGCAGCTACTGACAGCTAGTTCAGAGCCAATAACAACTAATAAAAAAAATCATGTATCTAAGACTAAAATATCATTCAGTTCACATCCAACATCCAATAGATTTAGTGTAAAGACGTCATTAACAGTCAGAGAAAAACATGACCTTATAATTCAATTTCACACGACGCATTTGCTATTCTGTTCAATCAGTAAAAATTGCAATTTTTCCTTGTTAACAAGAAAGAACAGAACACCTATTACTTAATTATGATCTTAAAGAGGCAACAAAATGAATTACACAAATGACAATCATAATTATGTTTTATTAATATGCAATTAACAAATCTGAGTCACTGTTGTTAGGAAACTAACGTAACTTAATTTGTTTGGATAACACTCATTCTCTTTCATTGTAACACAATATTTGCAGTTTGAACCGTATCGGAGACTATCATGACTATATTGCGTCAACAAAACTTTCGATATCTTTTTTATGTAGTACTTTTATCCAATCGACCACACTTGAGTTCGAAACTCCAATAACTGACAATTACGACCATGTTGACTTATTTGTAGATCTAGTCTTGCTGATTATTTTTGTTATTAAAAGTATTAATCTCTCTAGTATAGGTTTCAAGATAATAGACAAATACACAAAAAGTGGTAAAAATTGTCATTAAAGAGCAATAACTCCATGTCGTCTTATTTTTTATATCTTTTCATTATTTTTCAAGATATTAGGCAAAAACCCATACTGTGAAACATTAGTAAAAATTGTCATTACAGGGCAATAACTCCAATAAGGAGTCGAATGACGATTTCAGCAATTTGACTTTAAAGTAGATCTTGTCTTGCTGATCATTTTCCTTTCTAAAGTTTCTCTATTTATTATCGTTTTTGGAAATAAAATTGACAAAATTCGTCTTTTACTATAAGGGCTACATCTATAATAAGTAGTCTGCCAGTTTTGATGTAAATGGACAGTAGGGAGATCGATCTGAAAATTGTGAACATTTCTGCCCCTGAAGATATTCTCTATCTAAAGCCGTTTCAAGATATTAGACAAAACTTGCATTTTCCCCCATGTTTTATTTTAGTTTTAAAAAATACCCCAATGATGATTGTGGGAAAGTTTGGTTCAAATACGCCCATCAGAGAAGACTTTTTGTAAAAGTAAACAGACAACAGACGACGGATGCAAAGTGACAAGAAAAGCTCACTTGACCCTTTGGGTCAGGTGCTGAACACCAAATTTTGAAAGCCATGTATGTATACTGGAGGAGTTATATTACCTATAAGAGACAAGTACTGAATGGCCAAATCCATCTAAGATCATTTGCCCAAGGGAGTTATTCTTTCTTAAAAATTATATAAATGTTCTGCTTTGTTAAAATAATGCATAGGATTTAAAATCAGCGTCAGAATTCCTTGTTGTTTCAACTTCATCATCATCTTGCAAGAATATCTAGTGTAAGCATGATGTCATATTAGCAGATTATGTACTGTTAGGTTGCTTTTAGTTAATGTTACTATCAGTATAAAATGTTTTGTAGACTGTTTTACTTTTTGTCGTTTTTCGTTTTTTTTATGGTGGCGTTGGTCTAGCATCGACTTGTGAATTTAGATAATCAAATAATTGATTTTTTGACATATATATCAGGGACATAACTTTTTTATCCTTTGAAGTAGACTTTTGATATATTGTCATATGGGTGCATACATAGCTTTAGAATGTTGTTGCAAACCATTGAGATTACCTCAAACCTAAAACCATATTTATTCTTGTTTGCAATGGCAAAACCTTTTGCACCAATGAGTTTCTCAAAGTTTCATAAAATTTATTGTGTTTCTATCTGTTTTTTATCTAAGTAAATGAGAAAAACTTTTTTTTTGACAAATGTATAATAAACTAAGCTTGTTTTGCTGCAATCTTTTAATGTATCATTTAGTAAATATGCTACCAGTTTAATGTATCATTTAGTAAATATGCTACCAGTTTAATGTATCATTTAGTAAATATGCTACCAGTTTAATGTATCATATAGTAAATATGCTATCAGTTTAATGTATCATATAGTAAATATGCTACCAGTTTAATGTATCATATAGTAAATATGCTACCAGTTTAATGTATCATATAGTAAATATGCTACCAGCTAAGTCCAGCTTGCAATGTTTCACCAATATGTTGACAAATTTTACTGTGTGGTCTCACAAAATTTTACATAAAAATATCAACATTTCTCTCTTGTAGACTAGATAATATTGAGCAATGAGTGTATAATACTGATGTAAACTTTTAAATCCTCCATAATCTTGAATTTATCATTATAAGAATATCAAAATATTTATAAAGTATGATCATGGGTGCTAATATCATCTATATATATTCAGTATGGAACAAAGATGTATGATTACTTTATACCTTACTTTTCATTGCATCAATTTAATATTCATGAAATGAAAAAGAAGTTTATCTCATCTAATACAATATAATTAAAGTTTGTAATTGATAAAAACATATCACTCCCAGGTCTCAAAGTTACAAAGGATATCAAATATAAAATGAATTATCTGATCAGCTACATGTAAAAATGTTTAATGTGAATAGACAGAACATAAAAACTGTCTTTTCATCAAAATTCAGGAAATTTTTATTCACATGATTTATACTTTTTCAAAGGTTGAAACTGTTAAAGTAAAATTAGTTCAACCATGAATTTAGTCCAGATAAAAATAACATCTGCAGAGAGTATTATTCTGTTTTGATTTTCATAAATCCCTCATTCACACAGTAACTGGCTCTTTCTATTCATGACACTATCAATCTTTATAATGTAGGATCAGTGGGATATCCAGTGAATGAAAACAAACGAAAATTCACTCTTCTATGATAGAGAAAGTCAATAATAAAACAAAGCCGGTGACGATTATGATTTCCAAATAATAATTGTTCATTTTAAATAAGTTAATTGTTAAACTGTGTTATTAGAAATATACATGCAAATACACGATGTTTTATGTTCAGTATTTATCGAGATAATTGCGTTAGAAGCTTGTGAAACTGAAATTTAAAAACTGCCAAAATCTTTACTGTATATTGATAAAAAAAATTGGAAAAAATCATGAACATAGAAAATCTAAAGATCTTTCGGGTCACCAATTTTCGGAGTGTTCCACAAAGTCCTTAGCATGTTACAAGTTTGTAGTTTTCAATATTTACAGGGGAGGTAATATTTTGTTACTAGATTTCCCACTGGGATGTCTTAGTTCTGAATATGTTTGTCATTATGTTAAAAATTCAAACATTACTAGCAGATATGTCAAATTCGAGATCCATGCTGCCATTTTTATAGGGAAGGCATAATTGTACTTGCAAGCAAAAATAATATCAACTGAAATGGATATCTAAATAGATTTAAAACAGCATAAACAAACATAAAAAAATAACTTAAAAAACTAACAATAAAGACAGAAATGGTAGATCACAGGTCTATGTTGAAACAAACTTTACTGTTTACTGTGAGCAAAGAACTGGCTCCCACTAGTTGCAATTTGAATTCATTTTTTTTTGTTTTAGAGGAAAACAAATGTAACTGTGAGAAAGCTAATTCAGATATTTAGTTCAAAATACCCTAACTAAACATTTGGTACAAGATTCACTGAAATAAATGTACTTATTAGAAAAAAGATCCAGAAGATGGTAAAGGAAAAAAAAACAGTACCACAGCAAAAATCAACAAATAACATATACATATCACTTCATTAAAAACTGAAGACTGAGCAACACAAAAAACTCCACAAACAGGGGATAATCTCAGGTGATCTGCCAGGGTAAGCAAACCTTGCTCCACATGTGCCACCTGTTTTAATGGAAAATTCAGGAAAGTTTCGATCCAAAAGATATACTGACATAAGTAAAAAAAAAACTCTTTCATGTATCAGTGTATATCAATGCTTATTTTTATCAAGAGAAGTCTTTTCAATTTAAGGGCATAACTCAATAATATAAAATCATCAGACTTATTATTTCCCTTCATCCATTAGATTCATTCAACAAATAAAGTGAATCTATATATTCTTCATAGCTTTATAAATTATTCTTTTTTAAATCTCTACTATCCAATAGTGATACCCTTGGCCACACCCTAAATCCTTTATAAATTATTCTTTTTTAAATCTCTACTATCCAATAGTGACACCCTTGGCCACACCCTAAATCCTTTATAAATTATTCTTTTTAAAATCTCTACTATCCAATAGTGACACCCTTGGCCACACCCTAAATCCTTTATAAATTATTCTTTTTTAAATCTCTACTATCCAATAGTGATACCCTTGGCCACACCCTAAATCCTTTATAAATTATTCTTTTTAAAATCTCTACTATCCAATAGTGACACCCTTGGCCACACCCTAAATCCTTTATAAATTATTCTTTTTAAAATCTCTACTATCCAATAGTGACACCCTTGGCCACACCCTAAATCCTTTATAAATTATTCTTTTTAAAATCTCTACTATCCAATAGTGACACCCTTGGCCACACCCTAAATCCTTTATAAATTATTCTTTTTTAAATCTCTACTATCCAATAGTGACACCCTTGGCCACACCCTAAATCCTTTATAAATTATTCTTTTTAAAATCTCTACTATCCAATAGTGACACCCTTGGCCACACCCTAAATCCTTTATAAATTATTCTTTTTAAAATCTCTACTATCCAATAGTGACACCCTTGGCCACACCCTAAATCCTTTATAAATTATTCTTTTTAAAATCTCTACTATCCAATAGTGACACCCTTGGCCACACCCTAAATCCTTTATAAATTATTCTTTTTTAAATCTCTACTATCCAATAGTGACACCCTTGGCCACACCCTAAATCCTTTATAAATTATTCTTTTTAAAATCTCTACTATCCAATAGTGACACCCTTGGCCACACCCTAAATCCTTTATAAATTATTCTTTTTAAAATCTCTACTATCCAATAGTGACACCCTTGGCCACACCCTAAATCCTTTATAAATTATTCTTTTTAAAATCTCTACTATCCAATAGTGACACCCTTGGCCACACCCTAAATCCTTTATAAATTATTCTTTTTAAAATCTCTACTATCCAATAGTGACACCCTTGGCCACACCCTAAATCCTTTATAAATTATTCTTTTTAAAATCTCTACTATCCAATAGTGACACCCTTGGCCACACCCTAAATCCTTTATAAATTATTCTTTTTAAAATCTCTACTATCCAATAGTGACACCCTTGGCCACACCCTAAACCCGCCTCTGCCATCCTTTACAGTAATGTTGAATTTTCAAATGTATACATTTTATTCAATATTATTGTTGTAAATATTGAGACAGAAATAAACCGTCTTAAAGACATGATTAATAAAATTAAAACACTACACACCGGTATATCAAGAAAAACACAATTGAACACATAAATGAGAAGTATTATCATAAAGCACATTAAAAATTATCCCTGTAAAATGGGGAATCATTACCAAAATATCTACCAAACTTTCTAAACAAATAGGTGATATACATGTTAATACTAGCTCTATTACAAATGGTAATAAAGATGGAAGTGTTAGCAAATAATAAATTGGGACAGCATTATATGCATTGCACTTGCTTTCATATGTTGGATGATGCTGGTTTTTTTTCAGCCAGCTAAATAATCTTCTGTTTCTTGCTTTTTGTCAACTATAAAGTTAGCGATTCAAAACTAATAGCTAATGTTGTTAGGCCTGCCTTATAAATAATGTGTCAGCCTATATGGAGTATGATTTGACAGATCTAGAACATATATTTGATATAAAAAAAGAAATAAAAAAGCAATCTTACAGTTGTATATAAAGGATTGGAGACAGTCATAAAATTAAAAATAACATTTATGAAATGTTTAAAAAAAAATTAAAACCGTTAAAAATATGTACAGACTAAAATACACTGTCATCATAAAGCTTCTGTGACATTATAGGTAACACTTGTAACTGTAGAATTTAGGATGGCTGAAGAGTTTGACATGTATGTACAGGCTATCATTGATGGATCATCAGACACCAAAAGTCCTGAAAAAAAAAAGTAAAATAATTGAAAATAAATAGCTTGACCATGAGTGCACAATTCCTAACCCCCTTGTTTTGATCACTGAAGTCTCATAACTATTAAACACTGTAGAATCTGCTAGTGGTCCTGAAACACAATTAAATTTGTCAAATTCAAAACAATAAATGCCTATAATTCTGGAGTGACAAATTTAAAAAACATCAAAGTAGAAAGTAAGCTGATCTCTGTGGAACCAAGAATTGTGATAAACTTCAAAAAGATCCAGTAAAGTGAAATGATTTGAGATATCATGAGACATTCTCTGAAGTTCTGAACTGCTGAATATTGAACCACTGAAGTCCTTTTATTCTGAAATATTAACCTTTGTTAGTATGAGCACATCTTCAAATAACTCATGCAAGCTTTCATAGATATTTTACCAAACTATTTACACAATGTTTGCATCTATGAAGATAAGCTTCCTTAATATTTGGAATGCTTTCAGATTTTCTTATAATGTTCCAAAAATTGATTTCAAATGGTATCATTGATGTTTCTTCTTCTTCAAATTTTAAAGAGCAAATAAAACATAAATGTACAGTAGTTTTCTCAATTGAATTGTTTCATATTTATTATGTTGGGGCCTTTTATAGCTGACTATACGTTATGGGTTTTTCTTATTGTTGAAGGCCGTATGGTTGCCTATAATTGCTTACATCCACTTCATTTGAACTTTGGTGGACAGTTGTCTCATTGGCAATCATACCACATCTTCTTATTTTCATATTATCCCTTCACTCAATACTCAAATGATTTCCACCTTTACTGAAGTCAAACTGGGAATGCTAAATACCAAAATATGTATTTTGTGGCAGTATATTAACAAGAGTGCACACGCTGAAATGTCTCACCTTCTTTACTAATCATTGATATTATGTTGATAGTCCTAAATATAAAGCTTTATTACAACTGTCACATAAACTTAACATTAACCAAGTAAACTAAACATTGACCAATGAACCATGAAAATGAGGTCAAGGTCAGATGAACCATGCTAGGCAGGCATGTACAGCTAACAATTCTTCCATACAACAAATATGGTTGACCTATTGCTTATAGTTTAAGAAAAACAGACCAAAACACAAAAACTTAACACTGAGCAATGAACCTTGAAAATGAGGTCAAGGTCAAATAAAACCTGCGTGACTGACATATAGATCATAAAATATTCCCATACACCAAATGTAGTTGAACTATTGCATATAGTATTAGAAAAAAAGATCAAATCTCAAAAACTTAACTTTGACCACTGAACCATGAAAATGAGGTCAAGGTCAGATGACACCTGCCAGCTAGACATGTACACCTTACAATCATTCCATACACCAAATATAGTAGACCTATTGCATGCAGTATTAGAAAAAAAGACCAAAACTCAAAAACTTAACTTTGACCACTGAACCATGAAAATGAGGTCAAGGTCAGATGACACCTGCCAGCTAGACATGTACACCTTACAATCATGCCATACACCAAATATTGTAGACCTATTGCATACAGTATAAGAAAAACAGACCAAAACACAAAAACTCAACTATAACCACTGAACCATGAAAATGAGGTCAAGGTCAGATGACACCTGCCAGCTAGACATGTACACCTTACAATCCTTCCATACACCAAATATAGTAGACCTATTGCATACAGTATAAGAAAAACAGACCAAAACACAAAAACTTAACTATAACCACTGAACCATGAAAATGAGGTCAAGGTCAGATGACAACTGCCAGTTGGACATGAACACCTAACAGTCCTTCCATACACCGAATATACTAGACCTATTGCTTATAGTATCTGAGATATGGACTTGACCACCAAAACTTAACCTTGTTCACTGATCCATGAAATGAGGTCGAGGTCAAGTGAAAACTGTCTGAAGGGCATGAGGACCTTGCAAGGTACGCACATACCAAATATAGTTATCCTATTACTTATAATAAGAGAGAATTTAACATTACAAAAAATCTTAACTTTTTTTTCAAGTAGTCACTGAACCATGAAAATGAGGTCAAGGGCATTGGACATGTGACTGACGGAAACTTCGTAACATGAGGCATCCATATACAAAGTATGAAGCATCCAGGTCTTCCACCCTCTAAAATATAAAGCTTTTAAGAAGTTTGCTAACGCCGCCGCCGCCGGATCACTATCCCTATGTCGAGCTTTCTGCGACAAAAGTCGCAGGCTCGACAAAAATATTCAACAGATTTTGAATGATGGCCTTTTGAAAGGCAAAATTGCTGCTCCTATTAAACATACTACTTTTGTTATTAGCTATAAAATATCAAATGTCCAATTTCTATATTGAATGCTTTTTAAATCAGCAAATTGATTTATTGTTACAACTAGGTCACTGTAATATTTATTTATTATCTAACATTTATCTGTCCCTAGATGTTGAAAATGAGCAACCAATCACTCACCTGCTACAGAAGCTGTTATGAGACAGGCTATAATTCCTCCTAGTAAAGATCTCATTACAATCTGAGCTAAATCTCCTTTTCTTGAAGGGGCCATTGGACCCAGAGCTCCAAGCTGCATCCCTAGGGAACTGAAATTGGCAAATCCACACAAGGCATAGGTAGCAATAGTCTCTGATCTTACCTGAAAAAAAAAGAAGGAAAATGTTGTAACCGTTACAATGGAATTGTTTTTTCTGTATACACATTTTTAGCCAGAATAAGCGAATTTTAGCGAGAGCTAATCCCCCTAAAAATAAATAAAAGTAAAACCTCATTTTGCCTTTAATTTCTGCCAAACAGTACAGATACCATGTGCTACCACTGAAGTTTGTCTTGCTTAATAGGACAGATACCATGTGCTACCACTGATGTTTGTCTTGCTAAACAGGACAGATACCTTGTGCTACCACTGAAGTTTGTCTTGCTAAACAGGACAGATACCATGTGCTACCGCTGAAGTTTGTCTTGCTAAACAGGACAGATATCATGTGCTACCACTGAAGTTTGTCTTGCTAAACAGGACATATACCATGTGCTACCACTGAAGTTTGTCTTGCTAAATGCATAAATTTTCAAATCCCATTATAATCTTGCTAGCATCTTAATGTTTAATTTTGAACTTTTAAATTTATCTAATCTTCCCCTTTCAGGACCTTTTTTTTCTTTCAAAAAAACGTTTTTTTAAGGTAGCACAATACAAAGATTTTTTCACCCCAAATCAGACAACTTTAAACTGATGTAATTTCTTTCATCCAGCTTTAAATTTTATAAATGAGGTACCAAAAGAAAGAAGAAAGATTAATCTTTCAAATATTGAGATGTCCACACTTGAATGAAAATAGCTTCTTTGTTATTCATAGCATCCCAAAATATTTTATAGATTCTTGTATAACACAGTTTGACCTCCAAAAGGGTGTCTCAGATTTTTCCTATTGTATTTCATTCTCTCATAAACCTTCAATGAAGTTTGCAACCTAAATTCATAAGAGATCACTAAATTTAATTGGGTATAAAATTTGTTCTATTGATGTTTTTGGAAATCTGAGACACCCTTTTGATTGATTGATTGATTTTTGGTGTTTTAACGCCAATTTTAAGCACCGCTTTTGGGCTATTTCGTGGCGGCCAGTTTTTATTGGTGGAGGAAGCCGAAGTGCCCGGAGAAAACCACCGACCTTCGATAGGAAAACTGACAATCCTAGTCAATTAAGATTGGAGTCGAGTGCACCCGCACGAGCGGGGTTCGAACTCACAACCTCAGTGTTGACTGGCTAGTGATTACAGTAGTAACTACTTAGACCACTCGGCCACCGAGGCCCCCGACACCATTTTGAAGATAACTGGTCAAGGAACAACATGTGTGAAAATCAGACATATAGGGGCACCCATCTAGGAGCTAAATTCATTTAAAACTACATTTTCATGACAAAAATGAATGTGTCACAATTGAATAAATAAGGATTTTCCTACTTCTACCCCATTAACTTCAATATAATTCACACATGTACCATTGGGATATTTCAGGATTGGCCTTCAATCATAAATCAATTAGGTTTTGACCAGTAAGAAAGCATTCAATTTCAGGAATTCTAAATATATAGAGAAAATGCACACCCTATGCATCAAAAACCAGATCTGGCGGGAGATGTTATATCATTATTGACCTTGTTGTAAGTCAGTTGCTACTGATATGGTCAAAACTCCGCCCACCATGATAAACCTTTACTACTAATGATCTTAGAAGTTTAATTACACATTGCATTTACTTTTTTCAATATGGATTTTATTCATTTAGTACATAACATAATATATTTTGTTTTTTGATTGTTACAAAAAGTAAGTTATGCACGTGCACACAAAATGATCTGTTGGTCAGTTTAGGGGATCCTTATGGGGGATTTTTAGAATTGTAATTGTATACAAGGACAATATGGTGTTTTACACAAACTAGATTTTGTTCAATTTTGCAGTTTGAAAATGAAATATTTAATTTGTATTTTCTTATAAAAAGAATTCACATCTAAACATTCTCCCCCAAGAAATTCCAGTACATTAATTGTTATACAATTACATTTGTTTAATTTCTGTACATTTATATTTTGATTCCCTCTATATCTCCAAATTGTACTTTGTTTTTTTTTCTCCTGGCAGCTCCATTAATGAAATGTATTTTTATTTGGAATTCATTATCTTCATTTTTCCATTAATCCCTAATCCACCTCTTTTTCGTAACTGTTATTTGTATTGCTGGTCAGTGGTCATAAAGCTATCAAATGATTCTATTGATTAACCACAAAGTACTGCCCACATGTTCTTATCTTGTATCAGTCAGACACATGCATTTGTTTATAAAACTAATTATCATCAAAACTCATTAACAGTTCAAGATATGTAAATGAATTTTTCTTCTGTGGTTTTGGAATATTAAGAAGTAACAAAAACAGCTGAAAATGAAATTTTGATAAAATTTAGTTGCTTTTGTATTGTGCTACCTTAAAAGGACAACCAACTTTTAACTTTTTACACATTGTGACTTGGATGGAGTGTTGTCTCATTGGCACTCATACCACATCTTCTTATTTCTATATAAAGTATGCCTTTTTTAGCATTAAATGGTGTATTTAGTATTTTATACCAAAATCTTGTTTTCCAAAATGTTGCTAAGAAAAAGTTAAGTAGTTTTTAAAAGTTCATGCTAACAAATATTACCTGTTTTATGGCTGTCTTCAATTTTTAATCATTGATTTTTATAGTGAAGACACCCACATTGGTCTATGACAGGTATATATAACATAAATTTGATCATTAACACCATAAGGATGATTTTGGTCAAGTAAAACTTATTTTTTATTGTTATTTCACAAACAAATCCCCAAACATGACAGGGAGGTTTTGGAGAAGCAATTAATTGATTCCAACCCATTTAGATATTTGACAGACACCGGTGCACTTTTAAATGGAAGATGTCATGGGTTAGTTTATCAACAAAAGCTCCATTATCGCAGCCACACTGGACAAGTTAGGTGATGTCATTGGATTCTTTCTGTAACTGATCATTAAAACTTTTTTCCTTATTCTGTTTTATATAATACTTTCTATTTATAGTAGTGGTGGACATTGACTTGGAGCAAGAACTGCACTACTAGAGGATTTGTTCATACACACAAGTAGAGAAGATATGACTGAAATATAACAGACCAGCCAGTGACTGCAGGAATTCAATTGCACCTTGTGTACAATCTTTACCAGGAAATGATTCAAATTTGATCAGATAAAAAAAAAAAATTGTCCCAGAATGTTCTACTTTTAGTTATGGTGGTCATCCTGTTTGGCAGGAAAGGGTATTGGCAGTTATCTTAATGGAAACCTAAGATAAAATATTGCTACAAATTTGACAAACTGGCAGCAGGATCAGATGTTTTTTTTCTGGAAAAAAAGATTATATAAGACTTACCATACACCATATTCAAATTGAAGCAGCCAATAATTTTAGCAAAATTGTTGTACATTTTTTTATGGAACTTACTCTATTTTAGTCACAGAAGCAATCTTGGGATTTTTGAAAACATTCTGTGAGTGCACGACTAGAGAACCATTTTAACAACATTTAAATCATCAAAGTTGCCTTACTTCAGAATAATTTAAAAATAAAAGCATTTAACCCTTATGTTCTATTTCTAGTAAAAGCAGCCATGTAACCATGCTGACGAGCATATTATGCACAACTTTCAATTAGACACCAAAAGAATGATAGTGGCCAACTTAAATGTAAATAAACCTAATGTTTTCAAAAGAAAAAATATTGAAAAAGTTTACAAACCTCAAACACAAAGCGATGGCCCATTTGGGCTTAAAGGCAAGAAAGGTTTTTTATAACAGACTAGCAAACCTACAGATAAATGAGGCCCTGAGCAGTCCATTCTGTTGGACATGTAGCCAGCTAACTCTTTATAGGCCAGGAATTCATTAAGGAATGTTTTCATTCCTATAAGTTCTCCTACCATACCAGCATCCTTCCAGTCTACTCCCATCAAATAGGCTAATGGCATCAACACATAGGAGCAGATTATCTACAATTAACAACAGATGTAATAGGCTAATGGCATCAACACATAGGAGCAGATTATCTACAATTAACAACAGATGTAATAGGCTAATGGCATCAACACATAGGAGCAGATTATCTACAATTAACAACAGATGTAATAGGCTAATGGCATCAACACATAGGAGCAGATTATCTACAATTAACAACAGATGTAATAGGCTAATGGCATCAACACATAGGAGCAGATTATCTACAATTAACAACAGATGTAATAATATTTCTCTTATGTCTTTCACACATTCATGCAGGTTTTTGAATTACAAAAATTTATTCAGAAAATTATAATTGGAGTTTTTTATTGAATCATTAGAGGAACAGATTCTACCATGAATTACCTACTGCCATTTAGGGCTTGCAATATCATTTATACACTTGTCCATCATAGCGAGTTGACCTCTTGTAAAACTTGTATCTGTTTAAATTTTCAAAATGATCCAGGCAATTCAAGCTTGCTTTAATTCAAAGACACTGTCCATGCAACTCTCTGAATTTTTGTTTTTGTTGTAAATGTGTGTTATTAGGCTAGGGGTCAAATTGAAACACTCAATGCCTCTTTTATTCATACTTATTAAACAGTTTTGGATGTTCTGTTTAGACAGTTTTGGGGTTTCCAAACCTTTGGTCTTAAGCATTGCTTAATGAAGGCTATGATTTTATTAAGAGGCTAGATTTCATCTTTACCTAATTTTACTGGACATAATTTTATTGTGACATTTTGCATAGCATTATTATAACTAGTACTTGGGTGGTTAGATGTGTTGATCAGTTTCATGCCACATACCTCATGAATAACAAGAGGCTCACAAGAGCCAGAATCGCTCACCTTGTAAAAATATGCCATTTTGAAAAGTTAAAATGTTCAAAATTTCTCTCTATCTGTTATAGTTTTCAAGATAATAACCAAAAATTTTCAAATCTTCAAATAAATGACATTTTCTGAATTTTCCATAGAAAACAGACCTTGACTTCTGATTGTTTTTAACCTCTACAGTTTTGCTCTAACTGTTTAATTTTTTGAGTGTAGGCCAAAAAATGAAATCAAATTTACTTTTCAGGGGCAATAACTCCAAAAAAAGGCAGTTGGATTTTCCTAAAAATATCTGCAGTGAAAGACTTTGACATGTTTATAATTTTCCCCAGCATCAGTTTTTCTCTAACTGCTTTAGTGTAAGAGAAATAAGCCCAAAACTGCATTTTACCCCTATGTTCTATTTTTAGCAACAGCAGCCATGTTTGTTGATGAATCAAATCCTCTGATACAAAGTTTTGAACAAGATTTTCTAAGGAACGTTTGGCCCAGTAGTTTCAGAGGAGAATTTTTTTTTTAAAGTTTACGAATAGGGATTTAGGTCAACAACTACAGATGTCAAGTGATGGCAAAAGCTCCCATTGCCTTTTAGAGGAGGTGAGCTAAAAACAACATATCTATCAAATTGTTACATATTGTATATATATATATATATATGTATAGAAAGGTAACACATACATCCTCAGTTATTTATTAAATTTGTGTTGCTCAGAAATAGTTTCCTGTGAAATGTTTTGTGATAGTTTTTTGTCTTCTCCATATTGAAACAGTGTTGTATTTACTTTGACTTGGTGCTTTTTTGTATCACCCTATGTGTATTCTTTATAAACATGAATACATAAGGTAAAATTGAGTATGAAAATGGGGAATGTGTCAAAATCCCTCACCCGGAGGCATGCTTCAGCTGGCCCCTAAACAAAAATGTGTACTAGTTCAGTGATAATGGATGTCATACTAAACTCCAAAACATATAAATGAACTAAAATTAAAAATCATACAAGACTAACAAAGACCAGAGACTCCTGACTTGGGACAGGCGCAAAAATGCGGCAGGGTTAAACATGTTTTGTGAGATCTCAACCCTCTCCTATTCCTCTAGCCAATGTAGAAAAAAACAAACACACAGCAATACGCACAGTAAAACTCAGTTTAAAAGAAGTCCATGTCTGGTGTCAGAATAGGTAACAAAAGAAACTAAGCAAAATGACAATGATACATAAATTAACAAAGGACTACTAGCAGTTACTGACATGCCAGCTCCAGACCTCAATTAAACTGATTGCAAGATTATGTCTTCATCATATGAAAATCAAGCACAATCTCTCCCGTTATGGGTTTAGTATCATACCATCAAAATGCAAAGACTCTATGAGTGAATCAATATTAATACCAATAATGCCATCTTTAATGGCCTGACAACAGTATCGTAACTATATCCCTTCTTAATAAGTCTGTTTAAAGGTTTGGTTAGCTTTTGAGGTGAATGCCGACATTTTTGTGCTTTGTAAAGAATATTACCATAAAAGATTGGATGTGAAATACCTGAACGTATAAGATGTCTGCATGTTGAATTATATTTACGAATGATGTCCTTGTACCGATGATAAAATTTAGTAAATGTTTTGACTAGTTTGTGATATCGAAAACCCTGGTGTAATAATTTTTCAGTAATACATAGATTTCTTTCGTTAAAATCAAATGTTGTTACATACACGAGCAAATCGAAAATAAAAAATCATCTCTTTTATCATAAATTTTGGTATTAAGCTTCCCGTTAAAGATATAGATATCAAGATCCAGGAAAGGGCAGTGTTCATTGTTAGTATTAGCTTTATTTAAAGTCAGTTCAGCAGGATAAATCTCTTTAGTGTACATACTGAAATCGTCATTATTGAGAACCAATATATCATCCAAATATCTAAAAGTGTTATTAAATTTATGTATCAGATGTTGTTTCTATGGGTCGTTGCTGATTTTAGTCATAAATTGTAACTCATAACAATACAGAAACAGGTCCGCAATAAGTGGTGCACAGATAGTCCCCATTGGAAGGTGTTTGTATCATACATGGCCTAAGAGAAAATTATTGGCAAGTTTAAACAGTTTTACCTGAAATGAAAGCGTTGGAAATCCAACAAAGCTGCCAAACCATGATAAGACAGCATTAACAAACTCTAACATGGCTATAAAGGCTATTAAATTGACTGCAATGTTGGCTACCAGTTTAATGGATGCTGATGCACCAGCTGCTGCTGCTTCTAGAATGTTTGTTTCTTTCCTGAAATATCAGAAAAATCTGAAGATTGATTTAATGCACTAATATATATATATATATATATATATACACAAGTCTAAATTGAAAACAACGTTCAAACCTATGATTGCGTTGGATAAAAACCACAATTTTCATATGTGTGCATGCAAAACAAATTTCTTGTTAGAGGGGTCTAAATACAGCACAAACAACATTTTCCAAAAGACCAAAAAAGTGAAAAAAGTATTTTTTATCAAAACGCATTTGACTAACAGGTCGAACAACAAATGTTCTTAAACCCTGCTGACTGCCATTGGCGATTGCCAAATAAACGGACCACCGATGTAATAAATGGATCTTAATTATAAATTTAATACTAAACAGAAAACAATAAACTTGCGGAAAAGACGGTATACCGCAAAAAAAAAGTGTGCAAAGGTTTGAATTTTGAGGAGTCAAAATAGGATGAACGGATCATATATATATATATATATATATATAATGATTAAGCACAACTATAACAACCAACCATAACAAAATAAAAATTTTGGCAAGAATAAGGTTGAGAAGACCCAGAAGAAGAAATACTTCTTATACATAATGTCTCCCTTCATTGAACGGGAAACATAATAAGATATAATAGAATGCTTCGCTGAGCGCAGCTGGATACAACCGCAGCTGGATACAACCGCAGAGGTCCAACCCTGAACAGTTGGGGCAAAAATGGACACAATATTCGCGCTTGATACAGGTCTGAATTTGGATTGTAATTAAATATTTGACACATAAAAGGTTTCTGACACCGAATAACTGTAGTCATAGAACACTATGCTGTTGCGAATTGACCCCCCCTTTTTTTTTGCTTTTGTGAATACACTATGCTGTTGCGTATTGACCCCCCCCCACCTTTTTTGCAAAAAAAAAATATTTGAAGAAATTTTCTTTTTAATTTTTGAAATCTGAAATGAAAAAAAAATTCCCCTTTTTTGCCCCTAATTCCTAAAAGGTTTGAGCGCCATAACCCCCCAAAGCCAATCCTAACCATCCCTTTGTGGTATGGAAACTTGTGGTATAATTTCAGAGAGATCCATACACTTAAGGTGGATAGGGGGTCTTAAATAAAATCCATAGAATTTTTTAATAATTTGTCAAAATGTAGTTTTCATCATGCTTTTTTCCAAAATATAATAAAAAGTATGGGTCACCGGACTTTTTTTCACCCTAAAGATTGTGCAAAATTGTCAGATTTTGTATAGATTATGCATGGAAAATCCAATTTTGTGTGATAAAAAGAAAACTAAACCATAGCATTTTAAGATAAAATGTGAGACCATAGCTCTTATAACATGCTTTCAGATAAGAAAAAGAAAAAATGGGGTCACCGGACTTGTTTTCTTGCTACATATTAAAATAGGTAAATTCACAACACTTTCTATTATAAAAATTCGTAAGGGTTCCACGGAACCCAGTGTCTCGCCTACTTTTGGTGTTAATCGCAGGCTCAACAAAAATGAGGAAAAAAATTAATAAAAATATTCCTCTCTATACTATCTTTTGATTGTAAGTAGCTTCTGTCCAAGTTTGGTAAAAATCCAGGATAATTTATGAATCTAATAAATGTTTTAAAAACTTAAACTGCAGAATGTATGTAATGTTGACTGGAAGAAAAACTAAGTCCATTTATAAGTAAAATATGAAAAAAATGGAACAAAATTTTATCAAAATTTCCTTCTAGATACTAGCTTTTGATCATAAACAAGCTTCTGTCCAAGTGTGGTACAAATCCAGGATAGTTTAAGAAAGTTGTTAAAATTTTAAAAACTTTAACCAGAGTGAATGTAACGTTAACTGGCAGAAAAACTAAGTCCATTTATAAGTAAAATACGGAAAAAATGGAATTTTTTTTTTACAAAATTTACTTCTGGATACTATCTTATGATCATAAACAAGCTTCATTCCAAGTTTGGTAGAAATCCAGGATAGTTTAAGAAAGTTATTAAAATTTCAAAAACTTTAACCACAGAGTGAATGTAATGTTTCCTGGCAGAAAAACTAAGTCCACTTATAAGTAAAATATGGAAAAAATGGAATTTTTTTTTACAAAATTTACTTTTGAATATAATCTTATGATCATAAACAAGCTTCTTTCTAAGTTTGGTAGAAATCCAGGATAGTTTAAGAAAGTTATTAAAATTTCAAAAACCTTAACCACAGAGTGAATATTTGTGGACGCCGCCGTTGACGCCGACGGAATGTAGGATCGCTATGTCTCGCTTTTTCGACAAAAGTCGAAGGCTCGACAAAAATAACTTTATCTGAGTTATCTCCCCTTATGTGGCAAAGTTGAAAAAAAATGAATCAAACAAAATTTTTGTGTTTTTCAGAAAATACAGCCGTAAATATGATAAAACACATTATTTTGTATATTAACATTAAAAGTCTTACACATGAATTACATACTACTCTCAAAATTTGCACATTTCATTAAAGATCTAGACCAATTGTCATCTGCTACTTCAAAATCCAAGTTGGAGGAAGACACCCCAGCCACCTTAAACACAAGTTATTGTCTGGAAGTTACAAAAATGCTTATTTTTGGCCCTAATTCCTTAACTGTTGGTACCATAACCCCTAAAATCAATCCCAACCTTTTTTTGTGGTAATGAACCTTATCGTAAAATTTCATATAGATCCATTCACTTAAACTAAAGTTATTCTGTGAAAACCAATGTGTCTTCGGACGTCGACGAAGACACCAACGTCATACCAATATACGACCGCAAAAAGGTCGTATAACAATGACATACATAATCATTGCTAAAATTAATATTCCTTTAATAGTAACTTCTAAGAATAAATTGACAGCTACCCCCTAATCACCTCAAGACAATACAAAATTTACGTAATCACGTAACTTTAAGCTTAATCACTGATCCATATAATGAGATCAAGGTCAGGTGAACTCTGTCTGATGGAAATGTAGACATTGCAAGGAACCAATATACCAAATAAAGTTATCCTATTACTCAAAATAAGTGAGAAATTCACATGACAAAAAAAATATTTTTTTTCAAGCAGTCGCTGAACCATGAAAAAGAGGGTTAGAACAATGGCCATATGATATACGGAAACTTTATAACACAAGGTATCTGCATACAAGGTATGAAGCATCCATGTCCTCTACCTTCTGAAAAATAAAGCTTTATACAAATAGTTTACATCGCTGCAGCCTCATAGTAATCCCTATGTCACACATGTATACACTGCCTACTGCAACTTTCTTTGTAGGCGAGACAAAAACTGTTTTGTAGCTTTCAAATCAAGAGGAAGGCAAATATTTGGTTGCCTATTTTTCACCGCATTTGTTATTTGGCTGGAGGCATAATTAATTTTTTTTCTTCCAGAGTTGGAAAGTGATTTGCTCTCCTTGCAAACCTGGAAAAAATAGTCCACAGTGATAATTATGGAGTTGATATCAAACATAATCTGAAAGAACCACAATAACCACAAGAGTGCACATGCTGAAATGTCTCGCCTGCTTTACTGACCATTGATTTTATATTGAAAGTCTTAAAGATAAAGGTTTTAGTAAAAGTATCACATAAACTTACAATTTCTAAAAACCTATGACAATGAGGTCAAGGTCAGATAAATCCTGTCAGACAGAATCATTCCATACACCAAATATAGTTGACCTATTCCTTGTGTTAATTGGAAAAACAGACCAAGCACAAAAACTCAACTTTGATCAATGAACCATGAAAATGAGGTCAAGGTCAGATAAATCCTGTCAGAGAGATATGTACACCTTATGATTATTCCATACACCAAATAAAGTTGCCATAATGCTTCTAGTGTTTGAAAAACAGAACAAAACACAAAAACTTAACATTGATCAATGAACCATGAAAATGAGGTCAAGGTCAGACGATACCTACCAGACAGACATGTACACCTTACAATCATTCCATACACCAAATATAGTTGACCTTTTGCTTATAAAACTTGAAAAACTGACCAAAACACAAAAAAATTAACATTGACCAATGAACCATGAAAATGAGGTCAAGGTCAGACGATACCTGCCAGACAGACATGTACACCTAACAATCATTCCATACACCAAATATAGTTGACCTATTGCTTATAGTACTTGAAAAATTGACCAAAACACAAAAAATTAACATGACCAATGAACCATGAATATGAGGTCAAGGTCAGATGAAACCTGCCAGACTGACATGTACCCCTTACAGTCATTTCATACACCACATATAGTTGACCTACTGCTTATAGTATTTGAGAAACAGACCTAATCATGTAACTTTAACCTTGATCACTGATCCATGAAATGAGGTCAAGGTCAGGTGAACCCTGTCTGACAGACATGTTGACGTTTCAAGGAACCCATATACCAAATATAGTTATCCTATTACTCATAAGTGAGAAATTCACATGACAAAAAAAACTATAAATATTTTTCAAGGAGTCACTGAACCATGAAAATGAGGTCAAGGTCAATGAACATATGACAGACAGAAACTTCGTAACATAAGGTAGCTACATACAAGATATGAAGCATCCAGGTCTTCTACCTTCTGAAATATAAAGATTTGTACATATATATTACACTGCCACTGCCAGATAGTAATACCTACGTCTCCAGACAACAAGAGTGCACACACTGAAATGTCTCGCCTTCTTTACTAATCATTAATATTATGTTGATAGTCCTAAATATAAAGCTTTATTACAACTGTCACATAAACTTAACATTAACCAAGTAAACTAAACATTGACCAATGAACCATGAAAATGAGGTCAAGGTCAGATGAACCATGCTAGGCAGGCATGTACAGCTAACAATTCTTCCATACAACAAATATAGTTGACCTATTGCTTATAGTTTAAGAAAAACAGACCAAAACACAAAAACTTAACACTGAGTAATGAACCTTGAAAATGAGGTCAAGGTCAAATAAAACCTGCAAGACTGACATATAGATCATAAAATATTTCCATACACCAAATATAGTTGAACTATTGCATATAGTATTAGAAAAAAAGACCAAAGCTCAAAAACTTAACTTTGACCACTGAACCATGAAAATGAGGTCAAGGTCAGATGACACCTGCCAGCTAGACATGTACACCTTACAATCATTCCATACATCAAATATAAACCTATTGCATACAGTATAAGAAAAACAGACCAAAACACAAAAACTTAACTATAACCACTGAACCATGAAAATGAGGTCAAGGTCAGATGACAACTGCCAGTTGGACATGTACACCTTACAGTCCTTCCATACACTGAATATACTAGACCTATTGCTTATAGTATCTGAGATATGGACTTGACCACCAAAACTTAACCTTGTTCACTGATCCATGAAATGAGGTCGAGGTCAAGTGAAAACTGTCTGACGGGCATGAGGACCTTGCAAGGTACGCACATACCAAATATATTTATCCTATTACTTATAATAAGAGAGAATTTAACATTACAAAAAATCTTAACTTTTTTTTCAAGTAGTCACTGAACCATGAAAATGAGGTCAAGGACATTGGACATGTGACTGACGGAAACTTCGTAACATGAGGCATCCATATACAAAGTATGAAGCATCCAGATCTTCCATCTTCTAAAATATAAAGCTTTTAAGAAGTTAGCTAACGCTGCCACAGCCGCCGGATCACTATCCCTATGTCGAGTTTTCTGCGACAAAAGTCGCAGGCTCGACAAAAACCACATTTTTGTGCTGGTATACCTGTACTTGTAGTTAAAAGTATTGGAAAACAGGATTTGTTGCCTTACAGCTTTCAACTCATCACCACCAAGCTGATGACTAAATGTGAAGTTATTCTGTTCAGTATTTCATTTTGCACCACATAAAAGTGTGACAGAAATACTTTTTTGGACGAACATCAGAACTATGAATAAGGTGAATGCTATATAGCCCCATTCCTAGAGTGGGGGGTATAAATAATTAAGCCATGTTTGATGGTAATTGTTAATCAAACAATTCCATGTGTTGCTAAATTTAGAAAATTCCAAGAAATTATGATGTCCAAAAGACTATTTTTTCCATGATTTTTTTAAAGAAATGTTGCATTAAAGATTCTGAAAAAAAATGTTTGTCTATGTAAAATAACAGAGGCAGTGATTTCTTAAGGCTATTAGGCACATTAAAAAAATTTGGTAATGCATCATTCTTTGGAAATTTTGTAAACTTGTCCTTTTTCAGGTTTTTTAATTTTAATTTTTATTCAATCATAAAAGGCAGTCATGTTTGATAGGGGTTATGTCATCAAGCAAAATTTAAAAGGGGATCATAAGTTCATCTTTTTTTTGTTTAGATAAGAGTTAATTGTTTTTATTTTGTATAATTTTTACTTTTCCTCCTGTTGTAAATCAGCTGTAGTTTTAAGCTTGCTCTGCTCAGTCTCAGGATACAGAAGTTTAGATACTGCTAAGGCACAGGGGGCATTCATCACAGATGCACACAATAAATGTTCTGCTGGTACCTAGGAAACATTAAACAAACATTGTTAACCTAAATATGTGTAACAGAGTTCTATTGTTTTCACATTTCAAATTAGAGACCACACTATCTTTAACATTTTTCTAATACAGTTTAGTAAGTTTTTATCAGTTGTGGATTAATTTTGGATTGTTTGCCAGCAGCAAATAAACTGCTTCGCTGAGAGCAGCTGGATACACCCGCAGAGGTCCAACCCTGAACAGCTGGGGCAAAAATGGACACAATATTCAAGCTTGATACAGGTCTGAATTTGGATTGTAATTAAATATTTGACATATTACAGGTTTCTGAATAAATGTAGTCAAAGAACTTGAAATTGGTTATATGAATTGAATTTATATTCAATTAAAGATTTCTTGCGGTTGTGCAATACACTGTGTTGTTGCGCAATACTTAGTAAATCTGTTGTCAGACTATAAACAAATAAAGTTAAATTAATTCTCAATATCATATTAGAAATTTATGAAAATCAAAAGGGAGCTTACATCAATAGGTATAAACAATTCACCAAAGTCTCATGAGAATTGCTGACAGCATTTTGATTTATTGTCCGAATACTGGAAAATCCCCCCTTTTTTAATGAATAAAACCCCATAACTCAGAAATGTAAAATGTAAAATTTATAAAATTCTAAAGGGAGCTTACATCAATAGATATAAACAATTCACCAAAGTTTCATAAGAACTGCTGAAAGCATTTATGAGTTATTGTCCGAAAACTGGAAAATCCCCCTTTTTTTAATGAATAATACCCCATAACTCGGAAACGTAAAATCTAAAATTTATAAAAAACGAAAGGGAGCTCACGTCAATAGATATAAACAATTCACCAAAGTTTAATGCAAATTGGTTAAAGCATTTTTGAGTTAATGCAGTGATTTTGCTAGCGCTCGTCACTTTCGTAATTTACGAAACTGTTTTCAAAATGACGAAAGTATTTCAAATCAATTTCGTCACTTAAATTTGGAAAGTGTAAAAATATTTTCGCATGAAAATACTAAATTCTACCTGTCTACATGTTTCTGACAAGTTTATGACCCTCAGCTAATTAACATTTACAACAGGTGTTATAAAGTTGTGATTACAGGTAATCCGCTTATCGCCATCGGATGGGTCACTAATCCAGTTAATTATTTTCCCCAGTAAAATTAGTCAGTCTGCTTTTTAATTTCAATATTTCTCAAGGCCAACGACCAGATTTTGCAGTTCGCTTGTCCTAGTTACGTCATTTGAACAAAATTGTTTTCCCCCGGACAATTCGCTTTTTAATTTCAATATTTCTAAAACGATCATAACTTGCAGTTCGTTTGTCGTAGTTTTGTCAGATGATTGTATTTTCGTCATCTTTGATATAAAACGTTCAATTTCGATTAAAAGGTTGAACTTTATTCAAAACGTTCAGAAATGTTTTCACGTTAAAAACTTCCATCATCATCAACGAGTCAAACAGGTGTTTCCTTTACGATATACTGCCCATGCGTGAAAGTATTCCTATGAATTTATAGACACTAAAACGTAAAATATGAAATAAATTTAGTGCCAAAATAAATGAGAGAGACAAATATAGTTCTTACTATGCAAATTGAAATAAAAAAATTATAATTTCCTGCCTTTTTTTAAACACAAACCAATCCGTAGATGAATCCTGATTCATTCTGAATTTATTATCTACTTGTCACTTCCCGTTTACATTTCATTTGAAAATCGAAAGAAAACGTGATCAATTCTCGATTAATTTACAATTTAGTTATTGGAATCGTTCCATGTGAAATTGTACAAATCCTTGGTTCCAACTTTATAGAAATTAATTCAAAATATCGATTTAAATGTTTTATAAGGATAATGATTATGCAGTGTAATTGTCTTACAAAGTTCATTTATACTGTGATTCCTGGTTTCAAAAGTTGGAACCCAACTTTTGTTGATCAGGAATGTCCCCGAAACTAATTGAAGTAAAATTTTGAACTAGATTTTCAGATCTTATATCCTAATCTTCATATTTAAGTGACACATCAGTCAAATCATGCAATTAGTCCTTCAAAGTCTGACAAAGATGTATAGTTAGTAATATACATACATCCTTGGTCCCTTGCTGTTACCCAAAATAATGTTGATTTTCATCTCGCGCAAAAGTGACTAAAGCCCTCAAAATCCTAGCTTAAACCAGGGTTAATGTCAGACATGTTGATGACGAATGGACAGACAGACGGACAACGGTATACCATAATACGTCCCGTAAACGGGCGTATAAAAATTCGATAACAATTCAAAGTTATGTTTGTTTTCGTCAACTGAAAACATATATTTTTTTTCAACTAAACTCATCAGTTATTATGCCATTAAAATAATTTTTTTTTACACGATTATTAATTTCAGATTCCTTTAAAGGGGCATTAGCTGTCAAATTCATATTCACTGATTTGACTCAAATTCTCATATTTGATTTATAACATCCTAAAACGAATATCCAAATTACAATAAGTCTGAAATAAACAATTAACAATGCATGGACTATATAATAAATATCAGCATTTCGTGTGTATTTTAGTCTAGATGCCATCTAATTAACCAATGAGATGACCTCGGAAGACTGCTGCCCGATATAAACAAACATAAATATAAATAGATTGCGACCACATGCAATTGGATTTTTCTAGGTCTGATTGATTTCATGTTATAGGTTAAAAAGATAAGTTAATCATTGTTTTTACCTGTATAAGAATGATTTTTCATGGATCTAATCAGTCAACGAAATGGTTTACCTTTGTTTCAATTTCAATGTTGACATTCTTTTCCTTTTAATGGCTGAACACTCATTATACATGCGTTACCAATCTCTAGCTAAGCAAGTTAATATTTCATCAGCGATGTTTCTTAGCTTATTTTGACAAAATTGAACTAAACTGGCTGCTAAAAGCTAATTATTATTTCACTATTTCACTTTCATAAATGATTGAAAGAAAAAAATCATATTTTATTTTTCTTTATATCTCGTAGCTAATACCCCACCATCCATAAAACCATGAAATAATTGGAGAATGACTATATCATCATACTAATAGTACTCTCTTGATATCATATAGACTCCCTCAAGTTGGTCTTACCCCAAAAGAGATATAAGCTGCTAAAACACCACCAGCTATGGTAGCAAATCCTCCTGTCATAACAGCATTAAGTTCTGACTTAGTCATCAACCCAAGAAATGGTCGAATCAGGATTGGAGCTTCTGTCTGAAATTAAAGATCTAAGTATCAAAATATTCCCTTTTTTATGCAAGATTTTTAATGGACATCTCCTTATTTTTATATTGTATATTAATTTTTTAGAGCTGAAACACATTGTATCAATTTTATTCAATCTATATAATCATTTAAGAAAGGATCAATTCAATCAACTGTCTCATCTGGTTTAAAGGGTCACGATTGAATCAATCGTATTCGATACCATCTTTTATGAGTTGTTCAATTCAATCAACTGTCTCTTCTCATTTTCAAGACTCATAATCGTATTGATTGTATTCAATTGATACAATTGTTTATGGGTAGAGTTATTGTGTACGAAATGGCGTTCATTAACATTCATGACCGTCGGACAATTTTCAATCATGTTGTTGAAAACACAACTCGAACAGAATTCAAGTTGTAAAGAATTTCTTCAGACGGTACATAGTTTTTCGACGCTATCAATCAAATTATTTTTTTCAAAATTTAACACTATAAGGTATGGGGAAAACCTGGATTCAGAATTTTTTTTTTGTCATCTGCTTGACCACAATTTTTTTTTCCATCAAATTGAGGATCAGAATATTTTTTTAAGAAAAAACCATAATTGTTTGTCAATCAACCGACAGATACAGTCCTGAAATGATTCTGACTTTTGCTGCACAGAACTGTCAGAAGCACATGTACAAGACGAGATTTTATTAATACATGTTTATATACTGAATACACTATTCATTATATATACAAATATTTAAAAAATCTCGTCTTGTATCTGTGCGAAGAAGTTGAGCAAAATGCTTCAACTTCATATTTGTTTTCGTCTATAGGTCCATCATGATGTTCTTCAAAAAGATTCATCATATTGTAGTTATCCGTATATGTCCTTATATTTTGCGTCCATGTGATCACATTTCGCATATTTGACAGCTAATACGCTACACGGTTGTTGAAAGCCATGCTTGATTATTTAAAATCTTGGTCCTTGAAACGCTTTACTAATCCATAATGGTCCCTATTATCAAACGTTTAGAAGATCTGTAGTATTCTAAATGAATAATCGGATCCGGACAGAGCGAAAAATCCCGATAATTAATATTATTTTTATTTTTGTCAATAAAATGTTTAGAGTCGTAGGAAACGTAGGTAGGGTCAGGAAACTGGAAAAACACAATTTATTTATTTTGGCCTTAGAATGCTCATAAGGCAATTTTCCATATAATTAATATTTCCAAGGGGCATTACTCTTTTAAAAATTATTGATCTGCACTGATTTTTAAATTCGACCAAGACATTGCTAATATAAACCTATGATTTAAGTTTCATAAAATTCTGGCAAGATTTGTACATATGAGACAGATAACAATGCAATTCTCCATATAATTTATTTTCCAAGGGCATAACTCTTTTAAAAGTAATTGATCGGCACTGATTTTCGATATCGTCCAAGACATTGCTAATATAAACCTATGATATAAGTTTCATAAAAATCTGGCAAGAATTGTACAAATGAGAGCTCTAACGATGCAATTTTCAATATAATTAATGTTTCCAAGGGGCATTACTCTTTTGAAAATAATTGATCAGCACTGATTTTCGACGCATTACGCAGGGGACAATAAGACATAATAATGACTACGAATGACAATATTTGTGGCCAAATTCCCAACCATTCCAGAGATATGGGCAATCAAACATACAATAGTAATTTTTGCGCAACAACTGTCAAATTAATTCTGGTCAGGCAATCGTCTCCTGATAATTTATTTTGGCTCGACCATTCCGCGAACAACATTAATTCAGGAGCAAAAGTGTTAAGTACTCTCAAAAAGACATGGTTAACAAGATATCTACTGAACTTACATTGCCAATGAATATATTTCCCGCAGCACATAGTGACTCTGCAGCTGTAGTACCCAGTGTCACTCTCATTATCCACGCTATCTTACCAATCACAATCTTCATAGCTCCAACATAATATAATACTGATATCGCACAACTAACAAATACTACCACTGGTAAAATCTGAAACATAAATGGTTTAACACTGATAACAATCTGCATAGCTCCAACATAATATATAAGCATTTATATCACAAATCTAAACAATACTACCACACCACAGGCAATACCTGAAACATAAATGGTCTAACATTTATAGAACAACTGAAGAATACTTCCACTGGCAAAATCTTCATAGTAAAACTACCTTCAACCCAAAATTTACAAACTGCTATTCACTAAATAACACAGAGATATGTCTCGCCTTTTTGTACTTTTGATAATGCAAATGTTGAAATTAAAATAGCAATACTTTAACACGTAAGTTATGCAAATATTCAAAGTCAATGAACCATGACTGAAGGTACATGGCAAAACAATCTCCATGGAAATGAGATGTGCCAATGCTAATACAACTGCATACCAAATACCATAGACTTATCATAAGTCGTTCCCTTTCAACAAACCTAAACACAAACATTGACTTGTAAACTATGTAAAAGTTTCAAAGTCAATGAACCATGATGCGGGGGTGGGGCTATATAATCTCCATGGAAACGAGACTTGCAAATGCAAATAAATTTGCATACCAAATATCATTGCCTTAACATTAGCGGTTCATCTTAAACTGATCTAATCACAAACTAATACATATAAACTAAGCAAATGTTTCAAAGTCAATAGACCATGACTGAGGGGGCGAGGCCAAATATTCTCCATGGAAATGAGATGTGCTAATGCTTATACAACTGCATACCAATTAACATAGGCCTACCACTAATGGTTCCCCTTGAACTGACCTAATCACAAACTAATACATGTAAACTAAGCAAAATTTTCAAAGTCAATAGACCATGACTAAGAGGGCGGAGCAAAATAATCTCCATGGAAATGAGATATGCCAATGCTTATACAACTGCACACCAAATATCATTGACCTACCACTAGTGGTTCCCCATAAACTGACCTAATCACAAACTAATACATGTAAACTAAGCAAAAGTTTCAAAGTCAATAGAACATGACTGAGGGGGCAGGGCTAAATAATCTCCATGGAAATGAGATGTGCCAATGCTTATACAACTGCATATAAAATATCATTGACCTACCACTTGTGGTTCACCATAAACTAGACCTAATCACAAACTAATACATTGTTGACGCCGCCGTGATCGACGCCGGAAACAGCATACCTATGTCTCGCTTTTTGACACCATCAAGGCGAGACAAAAACCCCATTGCACTTTTAAAGGAACAAGAAAAGGGAGGCCCTGTGCTCTGAATTAAAATAACATAATGTTTACTTTCTATTTAGGACCAGCTAAAATGCTGTACATATTTGTTTTTCCTTTTTAATATTAGTAGGGGTGATGATAACACTTAAAATAAATATAGGAAGATGTGGTATGAGTGCCAATGAGACAACTCTCCATCCAAGTTACAATTTATGAAAGTAAACCATTATAGGTCAAGGTACAGCCTTCAACACGGAGCATTAGCTCACACCGAACAGCAAGCTATAAAGGGCCCCAAAATATTACTAGTGTAAAACCATTCAAACGGAAAAACCAACGGTCTAATCTATATAAAAACGAGAAACGAGAAACACGTATGAACTACATAAACAGACGACAACTACTGTAATCTGATTCCTGACTTAGGACAGGTGCAAACATTTGCAGCAGGATTAAACGTTTTAATGGTACCAAACCTTCTCCCTTTTCTGAAACAATAGTATAACATCACAACATAGAAAAACACACTATAAAATATCAATAGGAAGGCTTAACTCAATCAAAAAACGTAAATAAACACACAATGAACGAATAAATTTGACCTGTGACACCTGAATGCAAAGACTTTCTATTTGTCAACTGATTGTTTATCTTGAATTGCTTTTCCTTTACAGCTATTTTCTTTGTTTTCATAATAAAAAAGTGGATTCTAACACGTCCATGTTGGTGTCCAAAAAAGCATTTTAAAAATCTTCAAGAAGCCATGTTTTTTTCAGTTATTGTATTCACAAAACCTTTTATATTTCTACATTTTTTGGTAAAAGAAGAAAAGACTTTCGTAAGGTGACATTTTTATTTTTATTATATTATTGAGATGTTCTTCTGCAAGCTGGAGCAAAATATCAAGTTTTTACACATCTGTCTATTCAATGATATTTAAAGCAAATGGATTTTAAGAATTATTTAAATGTATTCTATATAAGTTTCCTGTTTGCAACACATTTGGGTATTATTTGTTGTTACAACTAGTTACAACATGTTTGTCAAAATAGTGTAGCACAATGCTATCTGACAAATGTAAGAATGTATCGAATTCAACATAACCAATAAATAGTGTGTGTATACCTTCATGGCAAACAAATGTTCTGTATACTTTGGTCCAAAAACAAATTCTGACCCTTTATCTGTAAACATCAGGAAAGTTTGTACTTGTTTTCCAAGAAATTCAAATATTTGGAAACCAACACTCCATTTCAATATAAATGCAGCAAAGAAAAACTGTAGTGTAAAACCTCCAAGAACAGGTCGCCACTTCACCTTTAAAATAAAACAGAAACTTTTTCAAATATTAAATACCAGTACATAATACAATCAAATTGCTACTTTAACACAACAGATATTAAACCATTGGTTCTATATATCTAGACTTTAAAAAAAATCTTAACGTCATAATTTTTATAAAACATTTGTACATTATCATGATTATTCTTGGAAACAAAGCCATGTGGCTGCCTTTTGAATGTGTCTTACAGATCTGCTTCAAAGTACAAAAGTTCTAAATTTTACTATTAGAATGGGCTCATTTTAACAGGGGTAGGCATCATTATGACTAGCTAAAGATATTAACAAATATAATATCTATCCCATGTTAAAACAAGCATACAGCATGGCATGAAAGAATTGTTTCTTAATTTACTTTCTTTAAAATTGTGTTTGAAATCTATTGCCAAACAGACAATTTACATATTATACTATTGTTATGATCAGACCTTAGAAAATTGTATGAGTATTGCTTTTTATATATATTAATTAACAGGACATTAGCTACAATTCACAAAATAAAAAAACATTAATAAAAGCAGAATATTTAAATCTCTCACTATATAATGCATTGTTTGTGGTTTCCTATGGAAATTTTATAATTCTTGTAACATTTAAGTGTGTTAAAAAAATCAAATTTAAGAGTTTAAGTCAATTCAGTTGTAATGAATTTTTCAGCTAATGACCGTTTAGTTGTAAAATGGTCAATTTTATCAGTGAGTACAAATTAAGTGAAATATTATACAAAATAAGAAAAGATGTAAAGAACTATTGGTGCATCAGAACCCACCTTTTTTGGATGAGCAGAAAATATCAACAGGATGATCAGGAAAACAGCTAATCCTGCAAGTGAAATCAAATTCTGTGGACGGTTCCAAACTGATGTCACGACCAATGTTATCATTCCGATTATAACTGCTATCATAAACAATCTGAAATGATGATGATGATAATGGATGGCTGCTAAACATCCAGTTGCAATTAAATACATATTTAGGATAAGAACATGCTAATGTGATATGAATATGAACCCTACCTTGAACTAAACCAACAAGCTAGCCAGATATTTAATGTGCTAGTTCACAAGGTAACAGTTAGCAGGAAGACATGTCACCCTCCCTAGACACATTATTCTGATTTCGAACCAACAAGCCTTTGCTCATAATCAAAGTCTTTGGTTTGACCAGGCTGGCAATCTGAATTGCAAAAGGCAAGTATAATAGAACCTGTCTTGGGAGACAACATTCTTGCTTAAGGAAAATCAAACAACACAGAAGACTAATGAAAAAGGTTATTAGTTTTTGTCTACTGTAGAATTAAGAAAAGAATGTATATATATATTCTGGAGGTCACAACATTGCCATATCTCTGTATTTGTCAATTATTCACAAGTCACACATGATCAATCTATATTAAAATAACACTACATCTGAGGACCTTTAAAAAAAAAAAATTTTCACATTAATTTGGAATTTATTACCTTTTGGATATCTTCTTTCATCTGTGTAACCAGAAATTTTTTCGAGTGTGACTAATTTCATGAATGAAAATTTTTTTGATCTTCAAGGAAATCATTGATGGACTGTCTTGAAAATTTGTGGTACAATTGTTTTATATAAGGTACAACAGGTAGATTCCTTAACTTTGGGAAAAGATTTGATTTTTTTCTATAACTTTGATTGTTTGTGCATACAAGAAAACTTCAAATAAATAACAGTGGCAACAGAATTTTTCACTTAAGTTTAAACCCATCATAGTGATATCCCCCCTAGTATTTTCTATGCAAACATCTAAAAATCTGATAATATTCTACTCCCAAATGTTGGATTTGGACCATGTTTACCCCTCTCATTCAGTTATTCGCAGGAAAAAATATTCATGGGGTGCTCCAAACAGATGGAGAAAAATATGCATGGGGTGCTCCAAACAGATGGAAAAAAATATGCATGGGGCACTCCAAACAGACGAAGAAAAATTGGCATGGGGCACTCCAAAAAGATGGAGAAAAATATGCTGGGGAGCTCCAAATGCATGTAGATGGAGAGAAATATGCATGTGGCGCTCCAAATACATGTAGATGAAGAAAAATATGTGTGTGGCGCTCCAAATAGATGGAGAAAAATATGCATGGGATGCTCCTAATAGATGAAGAAAAATATGACCTTTACACATAAATCCATATTTTCAATATCAGATTACATTTTATCAATGGCAGTCAATACCAAAGCTAACTATAATGATAAAGAAAGAGAGAGAGAGAGGGGTTTGTTCTTGTATCATTTGTTTCTTACATTTTGACAAAGGTCTGAAGCTTTTGCTTGGATGCAAAACAGTCAATGACAGGCTGTATAAAGGTCTTGTAGATGTCTTCTTTAAATTTCTTTCTGATAAACCAGATGATAACGAAAGCCAGTACAACAATGGTCAGTACGAGGAGAGGTGTTGGATCTCTTACTTTGTCTACTGAACACTTCACCATGGCAGCAACAAAGTAAGCAAGGTAACCAATAAACAAGGAAACATACCATATCTGAAATGCAATAAATAAGATAATCAATAAAATACGAAAACATTAGGCAAACTAGTTTAAATCACAAAATTAAGGCTCAAAGGATTTTGTATGGTATCCATGTGTAATATTGACTTATGTTTGATACATTTCAAATCAAGGCTCATGCTAGTTGGGAATTTTGGAGAAGTAAATTTTACATATATATTTCACTTCCATATTTTTCAACCATTAAAGAATATTTAATGCTGCTGGATTTTTTAAGCTGTCTGCATCATCATCAGTAATTTTCTATTTGATGTAACAGAAATTTTGCATTCTTTAAAAAGAAATCTAAACATAGTTACTAAAAACAAAGTATATACTGTTGGCACAGAGATATGTCTGCCTGTTGGCTTTAAATTCAGAAAAAGTACATCTGATGGACAGCAACATTGCTTATCAATTCAAAGTTGCTGGACCACATCTAGTGGGCAGGGCCTGAACAGGTATAGAACTACTAATTAAGGCCCGGTCAGAAAGAACATACAAGAAAGTAGTACATATTTTAAACAAAATTGTTCCTACGCATAGCTGTATCTTTGTCAATAGGTGGAATATTTGGGTAGTTTTGGTATCAAATGAAAGCTTGGGGACTTAAGATCACTGTAAAACCCTTGTTTAAAGTTTCTTTTGAATAATAAAGAAGCATATACAATTTTAATAGGAGGGCATATTTGCCCTGTTGTTCAGATCAGAAGTACCTGTTTTTGTACTATTAAAATTCCGGGAACCAGTACGCTCTAATATGCAATTAAAGGTATGTTGAATTTTTCAGGACAAGTCAGGATAAGGTATAGTTTTGACATGAAATAACTGCTACTTTATTTGAACTTAAGACAAAGTAGCCATTAATGCTTGAAATTGCAGAATTTAACATAGAAAGCAATGGGCTATGAATTAGTGGTTTTATACCAAAAGGGTCGACAAACTGAGATGTACAGACAGTAAAGTAACTTTATAGAAAATATCGTTGTCTATTGTAAGTAGTTCCTATCAATCTAACTTAAGCAGGAAACTTAACATTGAAAATTGCTTATTAATTCAGTCACTGGACCATGACCTAGGGGGCAGGGCCTCGAAATGATCGTCAAACTGATATGAACTGATAGTACCAGTAATGCAACTTCATACAAAATATCATTGATCTATCACAAGTAGATCCTATCAAGCTAACTTAAGCAGAAAACTTAACATTGAAAATTGCTAATTAATTCAAAGTCACTGTACCATGTCCTAGGGGGCAGGGCCTCAAAATAGTCGTCAAACTGATATGTACTGATAATATTGCGACTTCATACAAAATATCATTGATTTATCACAAGTAGATCCTATCAAACTAACTTAAGCAAAAACTTAACATTGAAAATTGCTAATTAATTCAAAGTCACTGGACCATGAACTAGGGGCAGGGCCTCAAAATAGATGTCAAACTGATATGTACTGATAGTAATGCAACTTCATATTAAATATCAATGAGATATCATAAGTAGTTCTTATCAAACTAACTTAAGCAGAAAACTTAACAACTGTTGACGCCGCTGTCGCAGCAATCCATATGTCTCGCTTTCTGCAACTTTCGTCGCTAGTAGACTGCTATAACATTTTTTCAAGGACAAACTGGTCTGTCCTTAATTGCTGTTTTAAACATCTATTGTGGTAAAAAAATCTATTCCCTTCAATGATTTGTTTCAAACATCAATTCCCTATGTGTAAGATAATATTATTCATCCTCTATTTGCAAACATAAGTAATCTTTAATGGCAAAGTTCACATTGTCCCTAAATGGCTTGATAAACTGTCCCAGGAGGTTGTTATACTCCCTTAAATCATCCTTACACCAAGTTTATGATGGTACAAAATGTAGATCACTTATGATATAAATAATGAACTAAGAAATGTATCATTTAACATAAGCATTAAACTAGAGGCTCTCAAGAGCCTGTGTCACTCACCTGCATTTACTGATGCTTTGGAAATCATGTAAAATAAGGTTAAAATCATAATTAATAGTATTAGATATTAGATATTATAATGATATCTAAGATAATAACAAAAAACTGCAAAATTTTTGTAAAATTACTAACTCAGGGGCAGCAACCCAACAATGGGTTGTCAGATTCGTCTGAAAATTTCAGAGCAGATAAATCTAAATCTGATGAACATTTTTGCCACCTGTCAGATTTGCTTTAAATGCTTTAGTTTCAGAGATATAAACCAAAAACTGCATTTTACCCCTATGTTCTATTTTTAACCAAATCAGCCATGATGGTTGACAGGCGGGGTCATCGGACAAATTTTTTAAACTAGATACCCTAATAATGATTATGGCCAAGTATGGTTAAATTTGTCTCAGTAGTTTCAGAGAAGAAGATTTTTGTAAAAGATTACAAAAATTTACAAAAAATTGTAAAAAATTGACTATTAAGGGCAATAACTCCTAAAGGGGTCGACTGACAATTTTGGTCATTACAACTTATTTGTAGATCTTACTTTGCTGAACATTATTGCTGTTTACAGTTTATCTCTATCTATAATCATATTCAAGATAATAACCAAAACTGCAAAATTTCCTTAAAATTACCAATTCAGGGGCAGCAACCCAACAACAGGTTGTCAGATTTGTCTGAAAATTTCAGGGCAGATAGATCTTGACCTGATAATCAGTTTTACCCTTTGTCAGATTTACTCTAAATGCTTTGGTTTCAGAGATATAAGCCAAAATCTACATTTTAACCCTATGTTCTATTTTTAGCCATGGCCGCCATCTTGGTTATTTGGCGGGGTCATCGAACACATTTTTTAAACTAGATACCCTAATGATGATTGTGGCCAAGTCTGGTTAAATTTGGCCCAGTGGTTTTAGAGGAGAAGATTTTTGTAAAAAGCTAACGACGACGGACGCCAAGTGAGCTAAAAAAGGTCAGAGTGAACTTCTTTTTCTGTGAAGCTGCTACTCCCCAAAATTAATACATGTAGTTACACCAAGGAATATTGTTATACGTATGAGAATTCAAATTAAATACAAGTCAGAGAAGCTTAAGTTATAGGCAAAAGTTACCAACTTTTTATGGGACAGGGGGTCATGGCTAACTAAAAATAAAATGTTCTCCCTTAAGCTAAAGATTGACTTCTACCAAAATTTTTCAATTCAAATGAAAATCATGAAAATGAGAGGGAAAATCAAGTTGATGGTGGATTTCTTGTAATGTTTATTTATCATAAACCTTCCATTTTGGTTTGTAGTAAATTGGACTGAAATGTGTTACATTATAAGCCTTCCATATTGATTGTAATTAGTTGTGTAGAATTGTAAACATTATATACCTTCCATATTGGTTTGAAGTTAGTTGTGTAGAATTGTAAACATTATATACTTTCCATATTAGTTTGTAGTTAGTTGTGTAGAAGTGTGTTACATTATATACCTTCCATATTGGTTTGTAGTTAGTTGTGTAGAATGGTGTTACATTATATACCTTCCATATTGGTTTGTAGTTAGTTGTGTAGAAGTGTGTTACATTATATACCTTCCACATTGGTTTGTAGTTAGTTGTGTAGAAGTGTGTTACATTATATACCTTCCATATTGGTTTGTAGTTAGTTGTGTAGAAGTGTGTTACATTATATACCTTCCATATTGGTTTGTAGTTAGTTGTGTAGAAGTGTGTTACATTATATACCTTCCACATTGGTTTGTAGTTAGTTGTGTAGAAGTGTGTTACATTATATACCTTCCATATTGGTTTGTAGTTAGTTGTGTAGAAGTGTGTTACATTATATACCTTCAATATTGATTTGTAGTTAGTTGTTTAGAAGTGTGTTACATTATATACCTTCCATATTGGTTTGTAATTAGTTGTGTAGAAGTGTGTTACATTATATACCTTCCATATTGGTTTGAAGTTAGTTGTGTAGAAGTGTGTTACATTATATACCTTCCATATTGGTTTGTAGTTAGTTGTGTAGAAGTGTGTTACATTATATACCTTCCATATTGGTTTGTAGTTAGTTGTGTAGAATTGTGTTACATTATATACCTTCAATATTGATTTGTAGTTAGTTGTTTAGAAGTGTGTTACATTATATACCTTCCATATTGGTTTGTAGTTAGTTGTGTAGAAGTGTGTTACATTATATACCTTCCATATTGGTTTGAAGTTAGTTGTGTAGAAGTGTGTTACATTATATACCTTCCATATTGGTTTGTAGCTAGTTGTGTAGAATGGTGTTACATTATATACCTTCAATATTGATTTGTAGTTAGTTGTTTAGAAGTGTGTTACATTATATACCTTCCATATTGGTTTGTAGTTAGTTGTGTAGAAGTGTGTTACATTATATACCTTCCATATTGGTTTGTAGTTAGTTGTGTAGAAGTGTGTTACATTTGTAGAAGTGTGTTACATTATATACCTTCCACATTGGTTTGTAGTTAGTTGTGTAGAAGTGTGTTACATTATATACCTTCCACATTGGTTTGAAGTTAGTTGTGTAGAAGGGTGTTACATAGTTGTGTAGAATTGTGTTACATTATATACCTTCCATATTGGTTTGAAGTTAGTTGTGTAGAAGTGTGTTACATTATATACCTTCCATATTGGTTTGTAGTTAGTTGTGTAGAATGGTGTTACATTATATACCTTCCATATTGGTTTGTAGTTAGTTGTGTAGAAGTGTGTTACATTATATACCTTCCATATTGGTTTGTAGTTAGTTGTGTAGAATGGTGTTACATTATATACCTTCCATATTGGTTTGTAGTTAGTTGTGTAGAAGTGTGTTACATTATATACCTTCCATATTGGTGTGTAGTTAGTTGTGTAGAATGGTGTTACATTATATACCTTCCATATTGGTTTGTAATTAGTTGTGTAGAAGTGTGTTACATTATATACCTTCCATATTGGTTTGTAGTTAGTTGTGTAGAAGTGTGTTACATTATATACCTTCCATATTGGTTTGTAATTAGTTGTGTAGAAGTGTGTTACATTATATACCTTCCATATTGGTTTGTAGTTAGTTGTGTAGAAGTGTGTTACACTATATACCTTCCATATTGGTTTGTAGTTAGTTGTGTAGAAGTGTGTTACATTATATACTTTCCATATTGGTTTGTAGTTAGTTGTGTAGAAGTGTGTTACATTATATACTTTCCATATTGGTTTGTAATTAGTTGTGTAGAAGTGTGTTACATTATATACTTTCCATATTGGTTTGTAGTTAGTTGTGTAGAAGTGTGTTACATTATATACCTTCCATATTGGTTTGTAGTTAGTTGTGTAGAAGTGTGTTACATTATATACCTTCCATATTGGTTTGTAGTTAGTTGTGTAGAAGTGTGTTACATTTGTAGAAGTGTGTTACATTATATACCTTCCATATTGGTTTGTAGTTAGTTGTGTAGAAGTGTGTTACATTATATACCTTCCATATTGGTTTGTAGTTAGTTGTGTAGAATTGTGTTACATTATATACCTTCAATATTGATTTGTAGTTAGTTGTTTAGAAGTGTGTTACATTATATACCTTCCATATTGGTTTGTAATTAGTTGTGTAGAAGTGTGTTACATTATATACCTTCCATATTGGTTTGAAGTTAGTTGTGTAGAAGTGTGTTACATTATATACTTTCCATATTGGTTTGTAGTTAGTTGTGTAGAAGTGTGTTACATTATATACCTTCCATATTGGTTTGTAGTTAGTTGTGTAGAAGTGTTACATTATATACCTTCCATATTGGTTTGTAGTTAGTTGTGTAGAAGTGTGTTACATTATATACCTTCCATATTGGTTTGTAGCTAGTTGTGTAGAATGGTGTTACATTATATACCTTCCATATTGGTTTGAAGTTAGTTGTGTAGAAGTGTGTTACATTATATACCTTCCATATTGGTTTGTAGTTAGTTGTGTAGAAGTGTGTTACATTATATACCTTCCACATTGGTTTGTAGTTAGTTGTGTAGAAGTGTGTTACATTATATACCTTCCACATTGGTTTGTAGTTAGTTGTGTAGAAGTGTGTTACATTATATACCTTCCACATTGGTTTGTAGTTAGTTGTGTAGAAGTGTGTTACATTATATACCTTCCATATTGGTTTGTAATTAATTGTGTAGAAGTGTGTTACATTATATACCTTCCATATTGATTTGTAGTTAGTTGTGTAGAAGTGTGTTACACTATATACCTTCCATATTGGTTTGTAATTAGTTGTGTAGAAGTGTGTTACATTATATACTTTCCATATTGGTTTGTTGTTAGTTGTGTAGAAGTGTGTTACATTATATACCTTCCATATTGGTTTGTAATTAGTTGTGTAGAAGTGTGTTACATTATATACCTTCCACATTGGTTTGTAATTAGTTGTGTAGAAGTGTGTTACATTATATACCTTCCATATTGGTTTGTAGTTAGTTGTGTAGAAGTGTGTTACATTATATACCTTCCATATTGGTTTGTAGTTAGTTGTGTAGAAGTGTGTTACATTATATACCTTCCATATTGGTTTGTAGTTAGTTGTGTAGAAGTGTGTTACATTATATACTTTCCATATTGGTTTGTAGTTAGTTGTGTAGAAGTGTGTTACATTATATACCTTCCATATTGGTTTGTAGTTAGTTGTGTAGAAGTGTGTTACATTATATACCTTCCATATTGGTTTGTAGTTAGTTGTGTAGAAGTGTGTTACATTATATACCTTCCATATTGGTTTGTAGTTAGTTGTGTAGAAGTGTGTTACATTTGTAGAAGTGTGTTACATTATATACCTTCCATATTGGTTTGTAGTTAGTTGTGTAGAAGTGTGTTACATTATATACCTTCCATATTGGTTTGTAGTTAGTTGTGTAGAAGTGTGTTACATTTGTAGAAGTGTGTTACATTATATACCTTCCATATTGGTTTGTAGTTAGTTGTGTAGAAGTGTGTTACATTATATACCTTCCATATTGGTTTGTAGTTAGTTGTGTAGAAGTGTGTTACATTATATACCTTCCATATTGGTTTGTAGTTAGTTGTGTAGAATTGTGTTACACTATATACCTTCCATATTGGTTTGTAGTTAGTTGTGTAGAAGTGTGTTACATTATATACTTTCCATATTGGTTTGTAGTTAGTTGTGTAGAAGTGTGTTACATTATATACTTTCCATATTGGTTTGTAGTTAGTTGTGTAGAAGTGTGTTACATTATATACCTTCCATATTGGTTTGTAGTTAGTTGTGTAGAAGTGTGTTACATTATATACCTTCCATATTGGTTTGTAGTTAGTTGTGTAGAAGTGTGTTACATTATATACCTTCCATATTGGTTTGTAATTAGTTGTGTAGAAGTGTGTTACACTATATACCTTCCATATTGGTTTGTAGTTAGTTGTGTAGAATGGTGTTACATTATATACCTTCCATATTGGTTTGTAGTTAGTTGTGTAGAAGTGTGTTACATTATATACCTTCCATATTGGTTTGTAGTTAGTTGTGTAGAAGTGTGTTACATTATATACCTTCCATATTGATTGGAAGCTAGTTGTGTAGAAGTGTGTTACATTATATACCTTCCATATTGGTTTGTAGTTAGTTGTGTAGAATGGTGTTACATTATATACCTTCCATATTGGTTTGTAGTTAGTTGTGTAGAATTGTGTTACATTATATACCTTCCATATTGGTTTGTAGTTAGTTGTGTAGAAGTGTGTTACATTATATACCTTCCATATTGGTTTGTAGTTAGTTGTGTAGAAGTGTGTTACATTATCATGGACTTTGATGAAGCTGGCAAATAAAGCAGAACTTCTGTCAGAATCATCACTGTCAACAGCAGTAATAATAGTGTCTGAAATAATAAGATTAGCATAAAAAACATAAATTACAAATACATTTACAATAAAATGCTCCGCAGGGCGCAGCTTGATACGACCGCAGAGGTCGAACCCTGAACAGTTGGGGCAAGTATGGACACAACATTCAAGCTTGATACAGCTCTGAATTTGGATTGTGATTAAATATTTGACACAGCATAGGTTTCTGACACAGAATGAATGTGGTCTAAGAACTTAAAAATTTTAAATTGGACATTCACCTATTATGGTCCAATATCCAAAATCTAAATACATGGTTAGATTCAGCATATCAAAGAACCCCAAGAATTCAATTTTTGATGAAATCAAACAAAGTTTAATTTTGGACCCTTTTGACCTCAATGTGGACAAAGTTGATAACGGGGCCCAAAAATTAAAAATCTAAATACATGGTTAGATTCAGCATATCAAAGAACCCCATATATTCAATTTTTGTTGAAATCAAACAAAGTTTAATTTTGGACCCGATTTGGACCAACTTGAAAACTGGGCCCATAATCAAAAATCTAAATACATGTTTAGATTCAGCATATCAAAGAACCCTAAAAATTCAATTTTTGTTAAAATCAAACTAAGTTTAATTTTGGACCCTTTGGACCTTAATGTAGACCAATTTGAAAACGGAACCAAAAATTAAGAATCTAAATACACGGTTAGATTCGGCATATCAAAGAACCCCAATAATTCAATTTTTGATGAAATCAAACAAAGTTAAATTTTGGACCCTTTGGACCTCAATGTGGACCAATTTAAAAACGGGGTCCAAAATCCAAAAACTTAATACACTGTTAGATTCAGCATATTAAAGAACCCCAAGAATTCAAGAATAAAACCCCATTGAAATTGATCAAGAAATAAGCAATTTATACGAAGTATCTTCTTTTGCACAATACTGTGCAATTGAATATTTCTTGCTATTGCGCAATACTGTACAATTGACAACTTCTTGCTATTGCGCAATATTGTGCTATTGGATATTTCTTGCTATTGCTCAATACTGTGCAATTGAAGATTTCTTGCTATTGCGCAATACTGTGCAATTGAAGATTTCTTGCTATTGTGCAATACTGTGCAATTGAAAATTTCTTGCTATTGCACAATACTTATTATATAATAATTTACACATCCTGTTTGGTGTGTATCTCCTACCATATCATTATTATTTGCTTTTAAATAAAATCAGAAATAACCAACTTAAAATGGAAAATTTTAAAAGAAAAAAAAAAAGGAAAAAAAGAAAAAAAAAAAAAAAAAAAAATCCCCCCCCCCCCCCAATTTTTTGAACCCCCTTATTATTCATCACCCCCAAACTCAATCCCAGCCTTCCCTTTGTGGTATGGTACCTTGCAGTACAATTTCAGAGAGATCCATACACTTGAACACAAGCTTTTGTCTGGAAACTAGAAAAATGCTTATTTTTGGCCCCTTTTTGGCCCCCAATTCCTAAACGTTTCGGGCAATTACCCCCAAACTCAATTCCAGCTTTCCCTTTGTGATATGGAACCTTGTAGTACAATTTCAGAAATATCCAAACACTTACACACAAGTTATTGTCATGAAACTAGAAAAATGCTTGTTTTTTGCCCCTTTTTTGGCCCCTAATTCCTAAAAATTTGAGGCAATTACCCCCAAAATCAATTACAGCCTTCCCTTTGTGATATGGAACCTTGTGGTACAATGTCAGAGAGATCCATACACTAACACACAAGTTATTGTCTGGAAGTTACAAAAATGCTTATTTTTGGCCCCTTTTTGGCCCCTAATTCCTTAACTGTTGGTACCATAACCCCCAAAATCAATCCCAACCTTCCTTTCGTGGTATTGAACCTTATGGTAAAATTTCATGGAGATCCATTCACTTAAACTAAAGTTAGAGTGCGAAAACCAATGTGTCTTCGGACGACGTCAGACGACGACGACGACGACAACATCATATATACCAATATACGACCAAAAAATTTTTAATTTTTGCGGTCGTATAAAAACAAAAGATAAAATTATGATTCATATATTTTATTGACACACCTACGTTTGTATCTCAAGTGTAAGAATTGAATCATTTTATGTCTATAAATAACTAGAACTAGCTATATATAGGGGTTTTCCCATCTTTTCCAGCCAAAAAGCACATGGTTGTGAACACAAGTTAGAGGGGTGGAAGGACCTTTTTTTTAAATTTCGAATTGAGCTGTTTAATTCGTGGGAATTCGAGAATAGCCAGTCATTTTGTTGGGAATTCAGGATTTACTTATATTGTGATGCTGGAACTGACACATTATTTTCACAGAAATTCAGAATTTCACATTTATTTTCTCAGGAATTCAGGATGAGACCCCCTCCTACCATATTTATATACCCTAAAAATTAAATTTTGGAAATAGGTATTCAACTGGTACTGTCAAGCATTTAGATATAAAAAAGGACATGTGGTATGATTGCCAATGAGACAACTATCCACAAAAGTTTAAATGAAGTGGATGTATAGTATTGATAGAAAGTATTGCAATAAAATAAGACTGAAAATTCAAGTTGGAGAAACTAGGTCATGATGGTCAAGTGGAACATCTTTTAAAATAAACATGAGCACACAGATAATGATGTTTGACACACAACTAGGAAGAAAATAGACATTTACTACTGCTATACATGTCCCACATTAATTAAGGGATAATTTCAACCATGGTTTTATGAAGTAAACTTTTACCTCTTTCTATTCCAGTAAACAATGAATTGAAAGTAGTAAGTCGCTATTTTCAAAATTTTGATCAGAAAGAGAAATAAAGTGCTAGGGTTGGTAGGTCAGGAAACCCTGAACCACACATATAATTTTATTCAGCTGTATTATCAGGGTTTCCGCAGGCATTCGCCATTTAAGCATTTTGCGAAAAAATGAAAAATGTGGTGATTAAAATTCGTTATTGGCAAAAAAAGAAATATAACGGTTGGACTTCGTCCATCTTGTTTACTTTTTCAGGTTTCTCAGACTTTTTCCCTGATCAGACAATACTGGGAATTCATCTTGAACTCGTTACAATTTTGATAGAAAACAATGTGACAAACTGATTTTTTTTTGTTAGAAAGAAGGAAAATTTTAAACGAAAAAATATGCTTATGTTAGTTGACGAAAAATATTCTGTTTTGAGGAAAGAGGTGGCGAAAGAGAAAATTGACCAAGGACACACTGCGTATTATGTATACTCCATTCTCAAGACTGTATACTGGGCATAAAAAGCATATATCAGTTCTCACCATTGTCAAAATTAAGGGTCAAAGAATTTTTTTCCTCATAATTTTCATATCTCGGTGGATCTGTGTCTGGTAGTGGGACTGCTGACATCTTTTACAAATTTCTGAAAAAAAGAAGCACATGGTCATGTTTTTGTAAGCTTGTTTGAGATGTCTAAACTCTAAATCCATTGGATGTGTACTGATTGATATTTTAGTCTGGGAATCATGATTTACTTATTAGTTTTATTTGTAAAAACATTTTGTTCCTACAAGAGGTGCCATGCTGGTGTGAATCCAGGATTTTGAAAAACTGGACCCCACAAGAAACGTTAGGAATGAGACTTGTAAAAATTCTATGCATTAACCATACATGAAGCATGATACTTGGTCATATTTTATGAACATTTAAAATCCTCAGCCTTTAAATGTTCTATTGTCTAACCCATCATATACTACAGATATCTGATATATAACTTTATGTGAGGAAGACATGATACTTGGTCATAGTTATATATATTTCTCTGAAAGTGTCAACTGTTGTGACAGTGACTGTATGGATTGGTAATAAATTCCATTGCATTATGGTACAAGAAAAAATGAAAATTTATATGTATCTGTTTTGGTTGAAATGTGTCTAAAAATGAAATTATGATTTCTGCAGGTTCTACTGTCTGATGGTATGAAAATAGCAGGATTTCTACGATTTGATGGACTATTTTGTAGAACATTATTTATCTTGTGCGTAGTCTTCTTTCTTGTAGTGTTGGCAAGTTTAATGAATTTATCCTGTCGGTAGTACTACTGATGTTATATGGTACCTGTTACAGACATACATGTATCTAACAGCTCGTCATTACACCATCTCAATTTTAGAAGTTTGTTCAACTGTGTGAGGGTCCCATACTGTACGTGTACATGTATGATTATTGTAGTTTTGGTAAAACTGGCACCAGATATGCTAGAGTCTTCATGTTCTGACATGATGATTTTAAATTTCTTTTAAGGAAGCCTAAAAGATTGTTTGCCATTAGCTTTGATGTTGTCTGTATGTTTTGACCATTTTAGCATTTTGTGATCTAATTCGGATCAAACAAAACAATGTTTTTAAATATGAAGCAAAAATATGTGTCTGCAGATAATAGCAGTATGCCAAATTCATACAACCCATCCGTTATTCATGTTATTACAAAAAATGCCTAGTGACTGTAACTGATGGTTACTAGTCGAGGACTAGTATTTGTCTAAATTATCTACAGATATCTGATATGTAGCCTTATCAGTGTTCCCACTGTCTGTATCACTCTGCTCAACTCTTCATAAAATTGCATATCACGGCTTTGTGAACAGCTGTTTGTGAAGTCAAATACTTTAATCCGACCTAAATAACTTTGACCCAGACATATCACCGACGTCACAATGAATGAACCGACATTGATAAGTTTGACCCTAACTTATCAAGTTATCTTCCAGTTTGCTGGTGAAACAAAGAAAACACTTGTTTCTATCATGCACACTACACATTAATACAATTTGATAAATTGATAATATTGTCAGATTTTTATCATATTTTACAGTATCAATATGCAGGCAACCTGGAGGGGGTGGACAGGGTTAAGGGAACATAGAAATGAGGGGGCGGGAAGTAGGAGTCAAGGGAAGGGAAGAGGGAGTCAGGGGGCAAGAACCCGGGAAGAGGGGGAATAAAAATAAGGATATTCTGGGAAATATTATTTTGCTCAATTTTCGTCTGGGAGTAAAGGGGAGGGAAGTGGGAGCGTAAAGGGGGGGGGGGGGGATTTGGAGTAAGGGGAGGGGAGCAGGAGCATAGGGGAAGGGAATTTAAAATCAGGGGGATGGAATTGGGAATCAGGGACACCCTTGTCCAGTGTCTACCCCCCCTCAACCAGATAATCGGTACTTATGTTTGCCAGACATGATCATGATGATACTTGGTAATATTTTATGAACATTTTTTTTCTTTTCTTTAGGTATACAATATTCCATCGACATCCGATGATTACATATTGTTGCATACGTGGACTACTTATAAAATTTATCCCAATTTAAACAAAATATAATTACTTAGTGCAATGAAAATGACAAATTTTGATTAAAACTATATACAATCTTAATTTATGCTATTAAATAATAGTACAGAGAACAGCAGAAGTGAGCTTTTCCCTGAAGCTATCAACTGATTGTGCATGAATAAGTACCACAGGGAGCTGATTCCACTGTGGTATTGTATAAGGAAAGTATGAATGTCTGTAAGAGTCCTTAGATGTATATATATGCCTGTATGTGAGTGTATAGCTTTTCCTGGTTCTTGAGTCTGCTAGAATGAGTGTGTCATATGGAATAGCAACAAAATGGTATGATATCTTATACATGTGTTATACATCATTACCAATCTTGTGCGTAGCCTACGTTCTGCTAGTGTTGGTAATTTTAATGTGGTAAGCATATTTGTAACACTATTCTTATTGTGATATTTATTGCAGATATACCGAGCAGCTCGTCGTTGGACCATCTCAATTTTGGATACCGATTCGGTTGTTTGAGGGTCCCAAACAGAACAGGAATATTCAAGTTTGGATTGGATGAGTGCTTGGTATGCCTGGGTTTTTATATGTGGGTTTGTTGTTTTTAGATTGTGTTTTAGAAAACCCAGTGATTTATTACCTTTGGATGTTATGTCATTTATATGTTTGTCCCATTTGAGGTTTGACTATATTGTAATACCCAGGTACTTAGCTGATGTTACAGATTGAAGTGTATGATTATTTAAAATGTAGCTGTGCAGCCTGTGCTGTATATGTTCTTTCTTTTTAGTGACAGTTAGCACAGTACATTTATCTGGATGGAAAGCCATCAGCCAATCCCTCTCCCAACTAGCTGCGGCATTTAGATCTAGGAGTTTATAACAGTCAATCTGGGATCTGATCGGTCTGTATATTATGCTATCATCTGGGAATAGCCTGAGCTTACTGTAGGTCAAGTAGTCTGGCAGGTCATTGATGTATACCAGAAACAAGACAGGGCCCAATACAGTACCTTGTGGAACACCAGATGTGACAGGGACAGTGGATGACGACTTTCCATCCATGACAACAGTTTGTGTATGTTTTAATTTGAAAGAAATGCCTGTATCTAGTTTTAAAAGTGTTTGTCCAGAGATGCCATAATATTCTAATTTATAGAGAAGTCTTCAATGTGGAACTTTATCAAATGCCCGTAGCAAAATCCATAATAATTAAGTCGGTTTGAATGTTTTAATTGTCTGTTTCTAATAATTCTTGTATGAAGGAAAGTAGCTGAGTTTCACACAAGCATGAGTGTCGGAAGCCATGTTGGAGATCATAGAGGATGTTGTTGTTTTCAAGGTGGTTAATTAAATGCTTTGTATACATGTGTTCCAGAAATAGTTCTATAATTTACTGCTTTGTTTTTGTCTCCCTTTTTACATCGGATGTGACCTTGAGAGGTCATACCGGTATTATGTTGCCGCAGAAATTTCTGCACACATCCCTTGCACGTTCGACTGATAACCGAACGTATTTCGTATAAATACGGGGATATTATCGAGTGTAAAAGAACATTCCTTATCGCTTGTTTTAAATTCATTTCTTCAATGAATACTCATGTTCTTGAGGAGTTTTGTAATACCAGGTGTAGATATGGTTAGATGTGAAATATTTGGGTGTTCGCTAGGTCCTTTTTCTGGTACGGTATCATTGGGTTCTGATGTGACAACCAACTGAAATTGATCGTTCAAGATGTTGACTTTTTCAGTGGTGTCAGTTATGAGGTTTCCATCTTTTTTTGAGAGCCGAAATACATGATTTGTCTGTTCTTATGGATTTTAATATACTGGAAAAGTTTTTTTAGTCTTGCCTAATTGTTTGAAGGTTAATCTGGTTCATTTATAGGTAGGTCACAAATTATTGTTTCAATGTATTTCTAGTAAGCTACTCTTTTTTCTTTTTGTAATTTCCTTTTAAGATTTATGTATTTGTCATAGAAGTTGTTATCTTTGCATTTGTCATATAGTCTGTTTTTCTTTTTTATGAGTTTTCTAAGTGAATTAGTTATCCAGGGTAGTCTATGCTTGTATGTTAGCATTTTTGATGGAATGTTTGCTTGGATTGTGTTTATAAGTCTTGTTTTGAAAAGCTCCCATAAAGTATTTACGTCTGATGGTTTATAGATGTTAAGTTTGTCTGAATGATTTTTTTCTAACTCTGATTTTATGTTGTTCCAGTTTGCCTTGTTATATTATTACAAAACCTTTACGTGGTGTTTCTCTTACACTGTTCAGCCAGATATCTGCCTCGGCAAAGACAATATCATGGTCATTAAGACCAATACATGTAGGTGGAAGAGTGCTTATTTTGTTTATGGACGTAGGGTTGCTTGTCAAAATTAGGTTGAGTATACAATCTTTTTTAGTTGGAATGTCTACTAATTGATGCAAGTTTGAATCATTTATTAAGTCAAGTAGCATATCATGTTGGTGTTGGTCAGGTTTTCCTGAGATGACAAAGTTGTTCGACCAATTTATATGACCTAAATTAAAGTCACCGCCTTTTATAACTGTTGAGTTTCTTTGTTTATTTTGTTTATTGACAATTTTACTTGTTCTAATGCTGTGCCATTGTTAGAAGGTAGTCTGTAGTATGATGCTAGTTGTAAGTTTCTAGAACCGGTGATTTCTGCCCATACTATTTCACAATTAGGTTTTAATTCTTTTATTTCAGAGCTTACAAAGTCTTTAGTTATTGCTATGAGAACTCCGCCATGGCTTTGCTCGTTTTTGTTAGGTGGTCTGTCATTTCTATATACATTATAGAGTTCAGATGGGAAATAGTCATATGATGATGTATCTGAATCTAGCCAAGTTTCAGTGCCCATTATAATATCTGGTTTTACTGTATCAATAATTTCCTGGAGATCTGGTTTCTTATTTATTTATTGAATGGAACTTTATGTTTAAGATCTTTAAAGGCTTTTTATGTTTGTTCAGGGTATACTTTTTAAGTGTACTTTCATGTGATGGTGGACTTTTGGTAATTGTTGATGATGATGCTATAGGTGCACCTTGACTACCTATGCAGCCGAAGCTTGTTTGTTGGTTACTAAGGCTAACAAACATGTTATATGTTTCAATGGTTATTGAGTTGAAGAAACTTGTTGAAAAGTTTGGCATCCGGCATTGGATGCAGTGCCAACTTTGATTGCTGTTATTCATCATGCTATATGATTTGGTATACCTTGGCAGTCTGTGTGAAACCAGGTGTCACATGTCACAGCATACAGCTTTATGTTTCCAAGTGACAGCTTCCGCAGGGCCATCTTGGTGGTTTAGGACCTGGATTTGTTTCAGTGTCATAAGCATTTGCTATAAGCAGTTGAAACAGATAGTTAAGGACTGGTCTTATTGACTTTGGCTTTTGCATATGTAGGATTTGTATGCCATTAAGATTTGCATGGCTAATGTCTTGGTTTGTCAATAAACTACAACTTGTCATTAATGGGGGAATTAGAGTCATCTTGTACCATTGCAAACTCGTATCACTGTCAACTCGTACCAATAAAAGCAAACTTGTACAACTTCAAATTCATACCACTGCTAACTCGTACCAGGGTAAATTTGTACCATTGCAAACTCGTACCAACTTATTTAAATGCATTCAAATGGTGTTAAATGACGAATAAATATTTAAATTTTACTAAATAACTCATAAGTCTGTAAAAAGTATATAATTTGAAATCACAATGACCAATTTGTAGCCGATTGTTCCTTGGCTAATTGGATGAAGAAAACTGTAGCAGATCAAAGGAATTACATTTATTAATAAGTATGGTAAAACATAGCTGCGGAACCGTAGCTCTTAGGTCCTCATGATATTTTTTGACTATTTGATGACCATAGTCCGCAAATAGTCAAAAAATATCACAAGGACCTAAGAGCTACTGTTCCGCAGTTAGGTATAGCAATGAAACAAAATTAAAATAAAATTAAGAAATTCAAATTTTTTTTATAAAGATTTGCAAAAAGAACTCATAAAACATTTGTGTATTGTATTATATTTTTTCAATCTAAAATTCAATATTAAAATTCAGGAAAATCAATTAATATTTTATAAAGATTTGCAAAAGCATTGCGTATATATTGTATATTTTTAATGGTATGAGTTTGCAGTGGTATGAGTTCGCAATGGTACGACTTCGCAGTGGTAGAAGTTTACAATATAGGAAAGGAATCAGCCGAGTTAATACAAATGCATCGAGCTTTGGTTCTAAGCCAATGAAATCAGACTTTCTACTTTCTAGTTTCATTTCCACGAATAAACAAAGCCATACACGTGTGCAATGTGGTTGCGTCATGTTTAACCTTGGCACTCCTTGGCGTATAGTTTATTCACTTATGACATACCAGATCACAAGTGTTTTGTTATTGTAATTTTATGTGTAGATGCATGTTTTCATTAACATACACAAAAGAGAAAAACTCTTCCTCTATTTGACATCTTCAAAGATTGGGAAATGGAAAAGCTTAAATTAAAATTCTGTAAACACATTTTAGGTGCAACTATTAAAATTCAAAATTTTGTTTATAAAGATTTGCAAAAAGAACTCATAAAACATTCGTATATTGTATTATATTTTTTCAATCTAAAATTCAATATTAAAATTCAGGAAAATCAATTAATATTTTATAAAGATTTGCAAAAGCATTGCGTATATATTGTATATTTTTAATGGTACGAGTTTGCAGTGGTATGAGCGCAACGGTACGACTTCGCAGTGGTAGGAGTTTACAATGGTACGAGTTGACTTGCTTCTGTTCTGGAGGTACTTTTAAAAATCCTCGGCCTTTAAATAATCTATTGTCTAAACAATCATATTGTATAGATATCTGATATGTATGTATGCCAAATAATTCTCACCTTAGTTTGTTCTATTTTATCACTATCCGCCGAGTATCAATGAATCTACCGCTTTTTTTAATCTTTATGATGACCAGTTGACTGTCCTCAGGTTTCTTCTATTTAGATATAGGAAAGGAATCAGCCGAGTTAATACGAATGCATCGAGCTTTAGTTCTAAGCCAATGAAATCAGACCTTCTACTTTCTAGTTTCCTTTCTTAGAATAAACAAAGCCATATACACGTGTGCAACGTGGTTGCGTCATGTTTAACCTTGGCACTCCTTGGCGTATAGTTTATTCACTTATGACATACCAGATCACAAGTGTTTTGTTATTGTAATTTTATGTGTAGATGCATGTTTTCGTTAACATACTCAAAAGAGAAAAACTCTTCCTCTATTTGACATCTTCAAAGATTGGGAAATGGAAAAGCTTAAATTAAAATTCTGTAAACACATTTTAGGTGCAACTATTAAAATTCAAAATTTTGTTTATAAAGATTTGCAAAAAGAACTCATAAAACATTCGTATATTGTATTTTTTTTTTCAATCTAAAATTCAATATTAAAATTCAGGAAAATCAATTAATATTTTATAAAGATTTGCAAAAGCATTGCGTATATATTGTATATTTTTAATGGTACGAGTTTGCAGTGGTATGAGCGCAACGGTACGACTTCGCAGTGGTAGGAGTTTACAAAGGTACGAGTTGACTTGCTTCTGTTCTGGAGGTACTTTTAAAAATCCTCGGCTTTTAAATGTTCTATTGTCTAAACTATCATATTGTATAGATATCTGATATGTATGTATGCCAAATAATTCTCACCTTAGTTTGTTCTGTTTTATCACTATCCGAATATCAATGAATCTACCGCTTTTTTTAATCTTTATGATGACCAGTCGACTGTCCTCGGGTTTCTTCTATTTAGATATAGGAAAGGAATCAGCCGAGTTAATACGAATGCATCGAGCTTTAGTTCTAAGCCAATGAAATCAGACTTTCTAGTTTCGTTTCCACGAATAAACAAAGCCATATACACGTGTGCAACGTGGTTATTCAAATTTTAAAGTAAATTTGGATTTTATTAGATAAATACTTACCATCATAAATTCTGAGTGTAACCCCAATTGCGTCATAGGTCAGATGGAAAATCCCGACTAAAAATAAACGTACTCTCACTGGTCCGGACCTATACCCCTGTTTGCCCATATTCTCCCATTCAATTTCCTCAAGACAGAAACGTAGGGAAAGGGGATGAAGGGGAGGTGGGTGGGACCTATAATTTATGATGGTAAGTATTTATCTAATAAAATCCAAATTTACTTTAAAATTTGAATATTTTATAGCTATAAATACGTTACCATCATAAATTCTGAGTAACAGAATCTAACGTAAAGCTGAATCCCCTGTAACAGAAGAAACAGGAGGAAAGTTCAATCTTTGTGCTGAAACTATAGGTCCAAGAGAGTATAAACTCTCGGCAAAAGTAGCCATAGATTGGAGGTAATGAGATATAAAAGAGTTCTCATTTCTCCAGAAACCTGCAGACAGTACCTCTTCTAAAGATGCACTGTTAAACAGAGCCCAGGATGTAGAGATACCCCTAACATCATGAGCTTTAACATTAAAACTATTTAAAAGTTCTGACTTAGAAGAACCATAAGCTAAAGATATGCATTTGCATATCCAAGTAGAAATAGTTTTAACAGAAAGATCTGAGATTCCTTTTTTAATAGGAATAAAGAGTCTTGAGTTAGAAACAGAACGTAAACTACTCGTTCTATCCAGATAAATAGAAAGGATTCTTACTGGACATAAAAGTACAGAAATAGAATCGCTAGGGAGTGCAGGAATCACGACTGATTCTGCACCCTTATCTGGAATCTGATTCTTTGCCAAAAAAGCAGGATCCGTTAAAAGAGTAACAGAAGATTTATCCCTGTTAAATCGAAGGCAAGCATCAGAAATAGAGAAGGCATGGATTTCACTCCTTCTCCGTCCAGAAGCCAAAGCTAAAAGAAAACAGCATTTATAGGAAAGAAACCTTAAATCTATTGTTTCTGCTGGTTCAAAAGGAGGAAGTTTTAAAAAGGATAAAACTAGTCCAAGGTCCCACTTAGGAACTAAAGTTTTTTGTCTTGGTCTTTCAAGACTAAAACTACGAACCAAAAGAGAAATATGCTCATTGTTTCCAAAATCTGGGCCACCAGAAATATGAATAGTTCTTGAAATAGCTGATCTATATCCCTTAATAGTAGAGGGACATAATCCTTTGGATTCAAAAAGAAAAACTAGAAAGTCTGCTAATTGTTGTACAGTGACTTGGAAAGGATCAATTTCCCGCTCACTACACCAATCTGAGAAGATTGACCATTTTGCATCATAGACAATGCTAGTGGAGTCTCTGACAGACTTTGTGAGATGCTTGGTTGCTCCTTCAGAAAAACCTCTCTTTCTGAGGCTAACCCTGAGAGAAGCCAGGCGTGTAGATGAAGTTTTTCTGGATTTTGATAAAGAACCTTGCCCTTGATTTGAGACAGAAGGTCTGGTCTCAGAGGTAGAACTAGAGGACAAGCACATGATAGGCGCAGAAGGTCTGGAAACCAAGACTGTTTCGGCCATGCTGGAGCAATAACTATGATCTTGCAATTTTCCCCTGCTATTTTCTGAAGTACTGGGGAGAGAAACCTGAAAGGAGGGAAGGCGTACCCGAACATTCCTTTCCAAGATAGGCTCATTGCGTCTACCGCAAAAGATTTTGGATCTGGAACCGGAGACACAAATGTTAGAAGTTTGTGATTGAGACTGGTCGCAAACAGATCTATCTGAGGTGACCCCCAATGAAGAGTCACAGCTTTGAAAACTACTTGAAGTAGTTCCCACTCCGTGTTTACTGGAGCAAGGGATCTGGATAGAGTGTCGGCTAGAATATTGAGGTGCCCCGCAATATGTCTCACCACTAGATGAACCTGGAGTTGAAAACACAGAAGGAGAATGTCTCTGGCTATCTGATAAAGAGAAGGTGAATGAGTTCCTCCCTGATTCTTGAGATAAGCTACAACTGTTGTGTTGTCCGTGGCCAGAATGACAGACTGGTTCTTTAGAGACATTTGGAAATGATTCAGTGCAAACAGAACTGCTTTCATTTCCAATACATTGATATGCTCTTCTAAAAGATCTGGATTCCAGACTCCCGAGATTGTAAGCCCCTCCAGATATGCTCCCCAACCGAGGGTGGAGGCATCTGTGAATAATGTTAGACTGGGAACTTGAGGGGACAGACATAGGCCCCTCATTACATTTTCCCGTACTAACCACCATTGAAGGTGTGGAAATAAAGGCTGAGTGATTGGAATCAATGCTTCCCATTCTTGTGAAGCTGGAATCCATAACTTGTGCAGATAAAACTGAAGCGGACGAATGTGAAGTCGTCCCAATGGAATTACATCTGCTAGTGAGTTCAATAGACCCAGAAGTTGCAAGAATTGACGTGCTGTGACTGATTGAACCGTCAGGAATAAATGTATTTTCTGACATAGTTTTGTAAATTTTTCCTCTGGTGGGAGGACTAGGCCTACACTGGTTAGGAAATGTTCTCCCAGGAAAACAAAGTCTTGAGAAGGAATTATCTCTGACTTTTTCCAAGAGATTAGGAAGCCTAGGGACAGAAAACAATTGATGACCAAATCTGTCTGAACCCTCAATTTGATTGGGCAAAATTCCTTGAGAAGGGAATCGTCCAGGTAGGAATGAATCTGAATAGACAGGGAATGTAGGTGAGCTATAGCTGCCTGCATGATTTTGGTAAAAGCCAAAGGGGCTGTAGACAGGCCAAAAGGGAGAGCCTTGAACTGGAAAACTTTGTTGTTCCAAACGAAGCGAAGGTATTTCCTGTAAGTATGGGAAATGGGAATGTGGAAATAAGCATCTGAAAGATCCAGAGAAGTAGTCCACATTCCTGGAAGGATTGAAGCCCTGATTGATCTGTTGGTTTCCATTTTGAAATGGGGAACAATAAGAAAGTTGTTCAGAATAGATAGGTCTATGACCGGCCTCATTCCTCCAGTCTTCTTTGGAACCAGAAAAAGACGGGAATAAAATCCCGGAGACAGAGTTAAGAGCGACACCTCCTCTATTGCAGATTTTTGTAACATTGTGTCCACTTCTACTGATAGAAGTTGATACTTGACTGGGTCTTGAGTATGAGACAAACTTATCGGAACTGCAGACAGAGGAGGTGGGTTCTTGAACTGAAGTGTTAATCCCCCTCGAATTATTGACAGCACATAACAGTCTGAGGTAATTTTCTTCCACTGATTTAGGAAAAAACTTAACCTCCCCCCTACTGGTATTGATTTTTGAGGAACTTGTTGTAAATTTTCCCCTGGGGAAGCTGTCAATAACGTACGAGGGGGCAAGAACCTAGGTACTAGACCCAGGTTTCTTGGGACCCTTAAAACCACCAGAAGGCTTACCTGAGCTTTTTCCGGAGTTATTGGGTTTGTTCTGCGGTTTGCCGTAGTTATTCTTCCTTTTCTTAGCAGAAGAAGGAGGACCACCTGAAGCAGAAGTACTAGTAGAACTAGATGTAGCATTAACCGACCTCTTGCCATTAGTAACTTGTACACTAACTTTAACTGGAGGAGGGTTTTTGCTGAGTTCCTCTTGAACCCGCTGTAAGGGTAAACCAAACATCTTGTCAGTAAGTGGAGATTTCAGTAAAGAATCTTTCAAAGGCTCAGCAACAGAAATGTTTTCAAGAAACTCTGCTCTTTTAGATAGGGTGCAATTAGCAATAGAACCCATTAAAAGCAACTGAGATGAACCTAGAGCTTTATCCAGTTGAAGTAAGAAGGATCGTACTTCTGCTGGAATAACCGAATCTTCGCTGTTAAGCAAATGTCCGGTTGCAGCTAGAAAATGTTCGGCTGTGCCAAGAACTTGAGAAGCACTACGAAGGAGATTCTCAGTCTTTGACCAAACAGGTTGAGTGAGACGAAGACCATCTACTGGCTTTTTTCCCAATAAAGATGACATAGATTTTTCACAACTGGGAACAAGTCTACCCAGTGAAGAATCAAAGATATCAAAATCCTTGTACTTAACCTGATCAGAAAAGGATGACATTCCAAATCCAGAGATATTGTTATTAGCAACCTTTTCACTAGCAGAATTAGCGATACCTTCATTAATAAATTGTAAAGCAAATGCCATATGGCCAGATTCAGGAAAAGAATTGTGAGAAGTCACAGTATCCTGAGAAATACCACAGGAAGCTTCGAAAGTTGAAGAAGGTTTCTTCGGCTTGGAAGGAGAGGCAAAAGGGATATGTGCTTCATCCCTCATCAAGGTATACACCTTATCCCTAAGATCCTTCAAGGATGGAGGATCCTCAGTCTCCTTGGTGGGAGGTTGTTGAGCTGACTTAGAAGAAGGCTCAGGGGCCGTCTTCGATACCTTGGGAGAAGAAGAACTTTCAACATCCTCATCAGTGAGGAAAGCCCTTTCATGACTCCCAGGGGAAACAGAAAGCTCGTCATCCTCCCTCTCATCACATTCTACAGACTTAGCTGGAGAAGGTTGATGAGAAGAAACTCTATTCTCCAGTAGAGACATACGACTGGATAGAGTACTAAATTCAGCCTTGAAAGACTCACCAAAGTCCAAAAGCAACTTCTGAAAACCATCCAAAGATGATGCATGATCAGAACCCTGAGTACCATGAGAAGAGCTAGAAGATTGAGCTCGAGAGTCAGGTACGGTGGTAGAAGGAGCTACTGCAGGAGTCAAAGATACTGCTACGGGTGGAGCAGGAGCTAAAGGTGGTGCAGTAGCTACCCCAGAAGGGGCACCATAGAAATTGTCCCTATAAGGCCAAAAACCAGGTTGGTTTGGCATAAACCCACCATAAGGGTAAGACTGTGGCCAAGGTGGCTGAGACCATGA